AAGTAAAAACGTTGACAGTCTGGACGTTTTAACTGTGTAACAAAAATAATTTTGCTTGGATGAATTAAAAATCCGTTTCTCAGTGAACCAAAATTCTGTATAATTTAGCATGCCCTTCTAGCATTGACTATATAGTTAATGCTTCTAGGATCAACAGGGTGGAAAAGAATTTTCAAATCGTTCAATTCCGGAATCCCACCGGAATCAAAAGAATTGTGTTTCCATGAATCACTTATTTCCTTAACTTGGTTACAAGGCTTGAAACATAAATGTTAAACAATGCCCAGCGCTACCAACATAATCTTGACGAACTTCAGAAGACTAGTTGAAGGCTAATGCTCTACAAAGAGCCTCTGGGCTCAGTTTGATGAGATGACCGCCAAGAGGCACCGCAGGCAGAGTGAATGACTGGCAACAATACAACAGCTGATTTAACATCCCATTGTTGAAACTGTCAGCTGTTTGTTTATGAGTGTTGGCTTTCAATTTCACATCCTTTGAGGTTCACAAAATAGTGCGACGTTTAACACCAGAGACGTTTACGTAAAGGAAGTGAATTTTAAACGTTGTTTTAGTAATGACACCGTTCCTTATAAAACCTTCTAACGTTCCTTAGTAAACTTCTAACTTTAGAGGGCTAGTTTTTTTTATTCGAGACTGGGTTTTATATAGATGTATTCCCAAATCAAGTAATAAATATTTGCTTAAAATTTCTTTACCAGGTTGTATTATTTCCCATTTTTAAGAAATCATTTGAGAATTTGTTCGGGAGAACAGTAAATCAGTAATAAACGCCTAATGAAACCATAATAAAAAATATCTTTTTCGAAAGATTGTCTATTTCATCTACGTTTTATAATCCCTTGTAAAATTTCTACGTCTTAATAGCATAATAATTAAAAGTTACAGGATGTATTTTGAACAAAGCACAACTGATACGTCCTTTTGTATATACTGTATACAAATTCTGCATAAACGTAACGTTGTGGGTGCGCGAAAATACTTTGACTCGTGTTGTACTACAGTAGACATACTGGAGTGCAAAAAGCATTATCTAAATCATCTGTTCTATGTTAAAAATAAAACACGAATAACTTATTCGAAAACTAGGAAAACATTACTACTTCAACATCAGAACATTTGAATAAGCACGTCTTTCGTTTATTAGCAAATATCGTTGAATTTATATTGTTGAATATCTCAAACCGATGTTTTTAAGATAATTTTGATGGTTTACTTTGATAAAATAAAATTTTACAGTGATATTTTACGCCATCTTGTAAAACCTTCAAAATAATATTTTATAGGGTTTTTTTGAGGAAATCTCCCTTAAAATGTTAACCTAAAAAGTCGTAGTATCCAGGAAAATCCGGTAAAATTTGCACCATACTATTCAAAAATTTAAATTCTCAAACATCCTTTTCCACAATTGCTCAGAGAATCCTTTACAATGGCGCAATAACTCGCCAATTTGTCCCCCTTGTGCCAAATTACCCCCTCATCTCAAACTCGACAACATATAACATGTTACGCCCCCTCTAATAGGGCCAGTCCCCTCAAAGACCAACAAACTTCATTGTTGTGTATGAATCACTGAGCTAAAATTATAACTGGAGGTAGCACTGCCATGGCAGAAGTCTGTCAAAAGCGAGTCGCTGATTTTGTTAGGTTGGTATAGCAGTAAGTTTTCTTACCATAGCAATAACATGGCTTCTTATAACTAGGTTGGTATAGCAGTGAGTATTTTTGTCATACTTGAATACTTTTAATACTTTAATAATTTTCTTTGAAATGGCGACCATACAAAGTAGGTATTTTAAGCCAAGTATAATAATAGCCATAGCAATAATATGGCTTCTTATAACTCACACCTCACGCAAACATGGCGGCTGGCGACACGCATCTTTGACATTCAGTGCTACCTCCAGTTAGAATTATAGCTCAGTGGTATGAATTGTTACATATTGTATTTAAACGTCTTTGGCGAGTCATCTGGTATAAAATGTCCTTCGACGCTGGATCGTTGAACCCGAGACTTTTAAGATGGTGCCATTGACTTGGAAAAATTGAGTAGACTTTTCGTCCTTATTTCTCGAATATTCTTTAGAATGAGTTTTATATCATATCCAGTTCTACTTAGTGCTTACTCAATGCTTTCTTTTATGTTTGGATGGGTTTTACAGTCTAAACTTCACTCTTAGTAGTAATAATATCAGAGAACAATCAGTACGGTATCTTACGGCGAATGCAGAGTTGTATTTTGTTTTAAAGTTAGTGGTTGACGTAAACTAGTGAACAAATACATCGTTATTTTGCATTGTTAGCCTACTTTTGCACTTCTGTGTCAATCTTTTTGTGTATGAATGACGAAAGACGAAGGAAGAATTTAGTATTCTTCTAATATTTAAAACATTGAATATCAGTACATAGAACTGCGTATAAAAGGTGTCCCGTGGGTACTACCAGAAATTTAGAAATATGTTTAATGGGTCTAATTATGGGTTTAATAAAACAAAAATCATGAATAGCTTTTTTCAAAAGCGCCTTATTAGGATTATTATCATTTAGTTTATTTGTGTTTTAAGTTTTTGTCTTAAAAGCTGTTCAAGATACCTTTATGACATTTAAAGTATACGTTTTTGATTGAGTCATAAACTATTTTTATAGACAAATAGTTACTAGACATATTTTTTGTATGTTTTAATTGAGGCATTTTTATTTGTAAGAATTAAATTACTAAAATGTTGGTGATTTAATGATCATTTTAATTTATTTAAAATCTTATATTAAACAACACATGAAGTCAAATCGGGAGGGTAATAAAAAGCTGATATATATAACGATTTTAGCGAATTTCCCATATAGGGAATAAGCTATTACCGTAGTACTCATAGTAAGACCTGGACGCGGGACAGATTTTTTTTTCGTTTTGAGGTCCCTAGAGGCCAAAAACACCATTCGTTCAGTTTCATATATATATATATATATATATATATATATTTATATATATATATATATATATATATATATGTGTCCGTTAGCACGATAACTCAAGCAAAAATGATCCGATTTTGATGAAATTTGGTACAAACGTGTAAACCTACATTTATTTGAACGAGTTAGCGATCCAGCATGATCGGATCATGGGAACGGGGGTTTACGGGGGTTTTATGGGGTAAAAATAGGTTTTTCCCATTTTTGACCCAAAAAACATAAAATTTTGCAATTTCTTTCCAAACCATTTTGTAGAGCTTAAAAAACAAATAATTTAGTATATTGAAGCGTTATTATGCGCCTAATGGTTACGGAGAAAATTCCAAAAAATTGTAAATTTAAAATTCCCATGTTATTCTTATGGAGAATAAGTAAACTGTTGTAGTTTGCTTGTTTATGAACATATTTTGATCAAATTTGGAAAAAGTTTTTATTTCTTACTAACTATTAACATTTTACAAACAAAAAAAATAGTTTTACCCTCCCTGATACAGCAAACCTAAGTACTTGTTAAAGTAATTCTATTTAAATTGGGAATAAATGCTATATTTCTAAGTAGACATTTCAGTGTACAACCAATCAGTCAAATGGAAATTCGCTTAGTCTGCAGGTTTGCTGCGGCGGGGGTATTTACATTATGCGCCTCAAAATCATCTTTAAATAATACAAAAATTACGATTCAAAGATTTTATCTTGAACAGAAAGTGCTGCTTCATGCGGAGTATTCGGGAACTAACACATATATGTGATCTGCATTGCCGACAAATAGCGACTGAATGAAGAATACTGTCACAAAGTCAATGATACTGTAGAGTGTAAGGTATTTATAGTTATTTGGTATGTGTAAAAAGCTTGCTTAGTAACTGAGTATTTAAAGCATCCGCCTTAAGATATAAAGGTCACAGAATTTGATTCTAAGACATACAAAATATAAACAAAAAATATCAACAAAATATCAAGTTATTTATAATTTTTTTCGACAATGATGTACTATTTATAATTCCACCTAGCTTTGTGCATATTTACGCACCACATTTTTAAATTAACTGTTTATTTATTTGTTTTTAAGGATTTTCTTAAAAGGTATTTACAAGGTTATGTACAACACAATTTTTCAATTTCCAAAAAGCCAAGTACGTATATTCTTTATTTTTACACCTTCTAGGTAGTTTACACCTTGGATATTTGTGTCCTAAATAGGCAATACCTTATACATTTTTATTTTCACTTGGCTATTTAGTGAATTTTAATTTGTACATTTATTATTTCGTTGTGTCGTTACGCGATTTTTTGTTTTACAGTAGGTAGTGGGATGTACTAATGTACCATTTGTATTTTTTTTAATTTTACCACACTATGCACTTTTTTGTATGATTTTATATTTCACTTGACCATGTAACCTATTTAATTTCCAACAAGATATAAGCCTTTAATATACTTATGTAAAAATAATTTGAAAGGCTTTCTACAATGATTTCTGTTTTAGATTAAGATATGTACGCATGAACTTTTTTTTATTTTCATGAGTGGTGTACCCATTAACATATTTTTACTAAGCTATATACGATTTCAATAATTCATTTCCACCAGGCTACTTACAGTATTGTTATCACAAAATAAATAATATGCACCTACATTTTAATTTATCACTATTATTTACTATTTCAATTATATTTTATTCCCACTAGGCTTTGTAACATTCATACTTTTTATTCAGGCTGTATACAATATCAATTTTGTCTCCACTAACTATTATCAATTTTTATTTTAACTTCTCTGCGTTCCATATATACATTTCCATACTAAAAATATACATTATAACCTCCAAACCACAAACTTACACTACTATCACAATCACAGAGTTCAACAGTTATAGGTAATAGAATAGTTAGCACAGCTAATGTTTGTCTAACATAAATACTGTATGATAACTCAGTGACTTCCTCAATTCTCTCTGGTAATGTACGGCAGTAGGTTACTGCACCATCCGCTCTTGATTTGACATGTACAAAATATGGTAAGAACTCTTCCTTATTTGTCATTTTACATTGTAAAAGACCGACAGCATAATAGACCTACTGTTTGATGTAGCGACACAATATCAATTCTATTAAGTACCCTTGCTGTTGCAAAAATGTTCACATTGTATTTGACGATTGAAATGTATTATTGGTGTATAGTTGGAGATTGAAAATGGAGCTTGCAACGCTCAATAGATATCAAATATATACATTGTACATATTTATACAATTGCAAGTTTGATGTATTGCAAGTGTGAATGAAAATTGAAGTGGGATTTTGTAGAAGCAAAGCCGTAAAATTCTTTTCTTTTTGTTATTTAACAAGGTTTTTAAATGGTCGCCATTTTTATCTATTATTAGGATATTTTACGGTCATTGGACTCGTATTTGAAAGTGCATTAAATATATATTCTGTAAAATTTGTATTTAGTTACTCAAATTAATCATGGAATTGACTTTAAATAATTTAAAAGACCGCCATTTTGAAATTTTAAATTTTTTCTAAGTTTGATTTGTTAATAAAATAGTATCTTGCACCTTAAAATACACATGAAACTTTTTTTCCATGGAAAATTCACACATGAAACTTTTTTTCCATGGAAAATTCAAATAACATATTTTATGTAAAAAATACAAAATGGTAGATATCTGGTGAATAACGCGTTTTTTGGGGGAAAATGTCACGCTTGATTTACTCTTTATTTCGATCATAGAACCATTTCCCGGTGTTTGGCTGTTTACTTACAGCACAACTTGTATAGGGCTTGCATTGAAGCAGTCGGTTGCCGAGTTAATGCTAGGAAAAGTCAGTAGCTTTTTTGTGCTTTGTAACTGGGACAGCTAGCTATCAATAAAAGCTAATTGCGTTTTACATAAAAAAAACTAATGTTCCTGGCTAACGAAAAAGCTGGTCTTAGTAACAAAGTTAAACAAGCCATTTTACACATTGCTAGGTTAAAACAAGCATCATCATGCCACTATCTTAATTTAACTATCTACATATAAGATTTTCCTCTGTAACATCCCTTTCCAGCTGTCCAATTTAAGCGATTTTCATGAAAGAGGCGTAATTTTAAAACTTATAATCCAGCGAACCTGCGAATAGTAACGAACAAGTTTAATTGTCTTAAGGGTTTTGCTCCTCTTTCACTTCAATTTCTATAGTTCACTTTCAAAGATCCAGTGTTGCTGACCAAATTTCTTGACAACTGCTTAAAAATGTGTATTGCAATATACCAGCTGGTAATTGTTGTTTGTTGATGTTTAACCACAGTCAGACTGGATACAGTCCCATTGTAATTAACAGAACAGTGATTCTTGATTTTCCAGTTGATCCTACTTCTTATTTTGTGTCCTGCCACTCTGGCTGGGCACATGGAGACAATGTATTCCTGGAAGGCGGTTGACTTTGTTTTTCCCTCGGAGGAAATCAGGACCGAAAGTCTCGCCAACGGAGATTTCATTCCTGAAAACAATCTGATTATCGACGTTGACACATGGGCAGGTGAGTGAATTTACAATGTTTTTATAGGCCTACATTAGAGTAAAGCATTTGAAAATGACTGCCTCTTTACAGTTACATAGTCAATTTTCCTTTTAGCTATGATGCAAGTTATATTTTTGGGATGTACATTTTCATGGTGAAGTATATTTGCTTTGAGACATTTCTTCAACTTCTTAATTCTAATAATAAATGTAACTAAACACGGATCATCTCACACTATTCTACACTCATCTTTCACCACTCATATTTGGATTCAAATAAGCACCACAGTGTCATCCACATTTCAAATGATGATGACAATGATAATAAAAATTATAATAAAAAAACCTTACATCTTACAGGTATAGCTATTTTTTAGGGATCATGTTCTAGATCTTCTTCGTTGATAGTTATGCTTTGAGTTCATAAAAAAATAAGTTTTCAGATAAATACCGAGGTACCTTTTGATTCAATTTATCTTGTAACTATACGATTTTTAAAATTATCATGACCAACTAGAATTATTTAGCCTCTGATATCATTACCACCTCATATACTACAATACTACCTATAGATTCATCATTCATGAAGACAATTTTAAGAAAATCAGTCATACAATACAATACAATATGCATCAGATAAGAAGGCTTGCAGTATACAGAGTCAATGGGCGTACTGGTGTCATTTTTGAAATTATGAGGCACAAAATTATGATAAAGTAGTGGAAACGTTTTGTTCTTATCTACCAGGTGCAAGTTGTAACTGCACCTAAAGTATGCAAATTGTATATGTTAACAGTACAAGTATGACACTGCTAATTGTTAGATTGTTCAGAATTGTGTAATTTATATTCACATATTTTGTGAAAAGTGTTTTAATGTGATATCTAAGATACGGACTAAAAAAATGTTGTTTAAGATTAAGAACGAGACTTAATGATACTTCTTACACTAGGTTTTGCTAATAAGTAAAAAATAATAAAATAAGTGAAAATTTTGCTAATAAGTAAATTTAACAGTGAAAGTAATGACAACTTTCCTACAGTGCCACTCATCCTTCACTCATATTTGGGTGAAGGATTTGGGTGATAAATACGCACATAGTGGCGTCCCCATTTAAATAATTGATAATTGAATTGAATTGATAACTTCTAATCCAATAACCTATCATAAACATTCCAACATTTCTATCCGTATTATTAGACAATTTGTTTCTGAATCTACTTTGTTACCACACACTCTTTCCATTATTTCATTTTCGTTTGTAATAAAAATCAGGTTTGTACAATTTAATTCCATCTTTGCTCATACACGAGTGGGCATTCCACCAGGAGGAGCAAGGGACAGTCATTAACACTTTTATTTATAGTTAACATTGGTACATGAACTCTTTTTAGGTTTCTAGGAGGCGCAAGGAGGAGAAAAGTTCCACCACAATGCAATGGAGAGGGGCACAATTGTCTTACGGACCCATAGCGCATCACATGCAAAACACGGGCCTGAAGTTTAGTGAAATAATCAATATAAAACAAACAATATTCACTATTTCAGAACATGGAAGGGACCGGAAGATGTTTGTCACAATGCCCAAATTCAAGGTAGGGGCTCCAGTAACCCTTGCAATGGTGACTGACCAACAACGAGATAATGTGACTCTCCTACAACCCTACCCGGACTGGTCGTGGCACCAGGGTGACTGTGATGGGATAAACTCTGTGTTCCGGACTCACGTGAGTTATCTGGATGTGTAGTAAGTTAAGGTTTTAGATCTACTTAATAACTCCCAGAGACATCAAAGTGGTAAAACAGTTACTACAAGTCTGTTCACAACATTTAGACAGCATGTAAGGAAGCTTACCCATGACATCTTTTCTTAAATTAATGTATTTTGTAACTGATTGACGTTTTGGCAAACCTTAGCTGTTGAGCTATTGTTTTAAATTTAGTATCATGTGGAGGGGGAAAATGTCTTCCCCTAAAACCACCTAAATTTGGTGAACGGAGTATAGTATTAGGTGACCTATTAGGATGACTATACTGAGATATGAGTGTACATAGTGAACTTCAGTGAAGTGTTAACCATGTGTATAAATACAAGTAGATCTTGATACTCTGATAGATGTGGACCTACAGAGTCAGATTAACAAGAATTTCGAATTACCAAGGGTACAATGCTAAATACCTATAATCAGAAGGAAAACAATAAAAAACATAATTTCATAAAGATATAAGCTATGTAATGTCATTGTTGGATGGCCCACCAGAACTAACAATTAGAAATACCCCCGCAGCAGCAAACCTGCAGCATAAGCGAATTTCCATTTGCCTATGATTATAATTTTACTAAAATATCTTCTTAAACATGTCAGATTTATTCCCTATTAAATAACAAAAGTTTAATGAGTTAAATGAGTTAAATGAGTTTAATGAGAACATGGGTTTGCTGCTACACGAAATTCAATTGTGTGTTATTTAGTAAAATATTAAGAGTTTAGTACGAATTAAATTAATGTTTCAAATTTGATCAAAATACTTCAATTAACAAGAAAACTACAGCAGTTTACTTTTCTTCCCCTAAAATATCATGGGTAGTAGCATTTTCAAGTTACAAATATATGATGGACCGGCTACATATCCTCCGTTTCACAATTATTATACACATCTGGTTCACTTTATTCTGTTTCATTTTCATATATGATTTCCTCTGTTCCCCAGGTGGACAGGTGCGGAAGGCTGTGGGTTTTAGACTCTAGTGTTATCAACGTTTTCACCACCTTTGAGAGAAAATGTCCCCCGCAAATATTGATCTTTGATCTCCGTACAGATACTCTTATCAGTAAGTTTACATTGTAGTCTCATATAATAAAGTAGAGTCATACAGTTTCATTTGACCCAGAGAAAATATGAATTGATGAATGATGCAGATACCTATCCTTACAGGTTTTTAATGGGGAGTTAATTTGAGAAAGCAAACCTGTAATAACCATTGCTATGTTAACCATTACCGTAGCTATTATTAGCATTGAATGAGTTTAATTACTACTGTAACAAGTACAGTAGGTCTATGTGGTTTGAACTAAAACTTTTACAGGTATTGTGAGTTATCTTAGAGCTTTTAAATATATTTAACTAACATTTTCTCGGGGTTTTCCTAACCCAGCAAAAATAAGTTTAATTAACAGATTAATGTCTGAGGCTTTAAATTTATAGTTTTAGTAGATTATGAATGTTTATAGTCTTAACCTTGTGTTTTTTTCCAACAGAGCGTTACAGGATCCCAGATTCTGACCTGGACCATAGAAATCTTCTGCTCAACATCGCTGTAGATACAAGAACTCCAGACTGTAGTGATGCTTTTGCTTACATCTCTGATGCCGTGTCCTACAAGCTGATTGGTACTTATAGTTGAATCAATCACAATTCCTGAAACGTAAAAGTTGCATTCTGTAAAAAAATTTTATCTAGTATGCCTACTACCAGTTTTGGTAGAAGTTGACATCCAATCTCCAAGCTAAAATTGTAGCCATTTTTAGACTTACCTGAACACTGGTTGAATAAAAGAAAAAGCCAGTAACCTTGGTTGAAAACTAAACACAGTTGTAATCTATCATCGGGCTTTTAATAAACTGTCCTGTCCAAAGAAATAGTTGATCTTATTTAATAATAAAGCTTTTTAGTTCATCTTGTCTATTCTATCAAAGATCAAAGGTATCTTGCATTCTTTTGTTCATCTTCTTCAAACTATGCATTGATATAAAACTTGTAATTTGCTGTCTGTTACAAAAAGTCTGTTGCTGTCTTCATTATTAATGAATCAACTAAGGGCTTGGGAATTTCACTCACAATTTAATACTTTTCATAGAATAAAATATATAAGAGATATTCTCAGTTGAATAGATAGAAAAATGAATTTACCTTTGCTTCATAACATCAATAAGTATTTTGTCGATGTACAAATTTCAACTAACGATAATAAAAAATGTAAAGCATATTACCTCAAAACATCAATACAAAATAAAAACTATGGAAATTATTTAAAAAAAATTAAAACTAAATAAAACATTAAAAATTACCTCATTTGATCCCTGAATGGCTATTGATGTTTGTTGAAATTATGGGAGACATAATGGTCCTATGACATGAGTGGTTAAAGTGCTCGCTTGACAATCAAAAGGTCACCAGTTTGATCCTGAGAAGAAGTAGGAAGCTTTTTGATGGCTTGAAACTGGACCAGCTGTCCCTGATAATTGGGCTTTAAATAAAATGATCCTGACGAAACAGCCGATCTTAGTCAGTAACAAAGCTACACAGATCATCCCACAACATTCTACACTCATATCTGAGTTAAAATACGCACCTAGGTAGGTTTCCCATCTTATAATGATAATGCTATAACAACACGAGTTTGATTCATGTGCTAAATTGATTTATTACATGACTGTATATAATTTAAACAAAATACAGTGTAGTATTTGGTTGTTTCTTTTATAAATATAATTCAACATATAAATAAATAAATCCATACAAATAGTTTTAATTTTATTTCCAGTGTATGACTCCGCTAAAGACAAGTCCTGGAGAGCCTCTGGGGACTGTTTTGGTCCTTACGAAGAAGCCTTAAAATTCCACACTGCTGATAAACACTACAAGCTCAACTTTGGAATGTTCGGCCTAGCTTTGGGTTTGTATGAGTTTAAAGGGTGAAAACAGAAATGGGTCATTATAAAAATGTCATACCTAGTCAAATTAAGCCAACAAATTAAATGGACGGATACGTGAAATTTTGTAGCTTCTCCAGGAACTAAAATTAAATCTTTGGTGAAGCTTAATTCCAGGTGCTAACAAATTTTGTCTTTCTTCCCACTTTTAGCTCACATTATTTGTGAATAATTTTTCTATCAATAGAAAAAGACTGTACTCAAGTGAGTTAGTATTTCCCTATCCTTTCCTCGATGAATTCCTAAGCAAATGAGCTTAAAATACTTTATTTCAACAGGCAGAGCTACCACAAGACCTGTCGTACGCTTAAGTTGCATACATGTATTACAAAAACTGTTTTTATACTCCTAAATTAGCCTACAGTACTTACAAACAGTGGTGTAGTGGAGCTCTGTTTCTTTCACAAGAACCTATATAATGGTTAGCGAATCATATTCTAAATTGGAAAATGTATGACTAACACCACTGCTTACAAAATGACTCGCAAAATCAGTCAGCGATTACGCAAGTGCAAAATCTCTACTGGAATGCAAGGTCTAGTAAACTTAAAAACTATCACCAATGGCAAATATTTCAAAAACTCGTTACTACTATTTAAACTCTTTAAGTTTTTACTACTCTGTTTGGCAGGTCCTCTCCGCAACAACGGTGACCGCACCCTTTACTTCCACAGTCTCACCAGCGTAAAAGAGTCTTGGGTAACGACCTCTGTCCTCCGCAACAGTCAGCTGTTTCTCGAGGACCCTGGCGGAGCTGCGGACAGCTTCCACGAGTTCAACGCCACCAGAAGTTCACAATCTGCTGCCGAGGTAGGTTGGTGTCGTCGTCGTTAACAGCACTCGTTGATAGTAAAAGTAGCTGTTGCTTGTCAACTGTTTCAATCACATTACTAGTTGAGCAAAAGTTTGCCATTTACTTGTCAACTGTTATAATCTTTACTAGGTAAGAAAAAACTTAACTGCTGCTTGTTAACTATTGTCATCAGCATACAGTGAAAGCAAAAGCAACTGTTGAGTTATTTAATTGTTAACCGGTGATTGTTGTAAAACAGTTGAGATCAAGAGTAACTGTTACTTGTCAACCGTTGTACGTTAACATTTTCTAGTTGAGAAAAAAAAGGAACTGCTGTTTTGTTAACTGTTGCAATCATTACTAGTTGAGAGCAAAAGTAAATGTTGCTTGTTACCTTAGATCAGCACTGGTTGCTACCAAAAGTAACAGTTGAACATGACTTGTTAAGTCGGCACTGTCATTTACTGCAAAATAACAGTTAAAATCAGCAGGTGAAGCAAAATTGTGTTATATTTGTGGACAATACCCTGCACCTTGTGAAGAAATACTAGCGTAATCCCACCAGGATCTTAGGTCAGTATTAATTATGAGTAAGTGTTGGTAGTAAAAGTCACTTTTTTAGTTTAGCAATCTTCGTTACTGCCAAATTCTTGCTGAAACAAAGACTCTGAAAGAATGGCTCCTTTTAAAGAAGTACTTAAGGAGACTGCCAAAAGAAAAAGGTTGCTAAGCACTTATTTTATTGGAGCACTGCCGTTATTAAAAAAAAAAAACAATCGAACACATTTACACAAAAGCAATTTTCAATTTGGCCAATCATGGACGCTTCGCCACCGCCAACAAGCCGCAGACTTAACCCTGATCCGCATGTTCCTTGTACCAGCTCTGAGCCCAACTGTTTTGGGTTAGGGCATTTGAGTTAAACTATAAGAAACACTTGTCGATAAGTTTTGTAATAATTTTCACAAATGTTTTTTTTTAGGACATGTCCGATTGTGGCATCATGCTCTACTCCTTGGTGGGTGATAACTCCATTGGTTGTTGGAACTCTCGTCTGCCTTTTGAGGAAGAAAACATGGACATTGTAGCAAAGGTCAGAGGAAATATATGGTACATTATAGGGTCAGTCAAATTTCTTGTAGGAAACCGTTTTATTAACATGGGTAATGTTATTAACAATCAAAATGGAGCCAACAATCAAACAATGAGCCTTAAGTTTTGTTTTATTACAGATTCGCGAGCAGCTTATAAAATACCTATCTTCATTTTATGATTCAAATCAATGTCAGTGGGGGAGGGTGTCGCAACTACCTCTTGGGTCCATATAACGCATCACATAAATACTAATTGCGGGTCTGGCTGTTGGTAATACTTTTTTCAACACACTATGATGCTTTAGCTGTTTTATACGTTAATTGGCAGCTGAGTTGTCATTTTAGCCCAGGCAAATTAGACATATGCTCCCCAAAAAATCGTCTAAAGCTGGAAAGTGTTTTAATACCTTTTGGGGGTCCCAAATAAGACTCCTGTGAGTTTGCGACGGATTCTGACGTCTGCTTAAGTTTTGGTAGTCGAAAAACTACGAAAATTTTGCACTTTTTTCAGTTTTTCGCTTATAACTCCTAAATAACGAATCCTAAGGAAAATTTTGTTCAAAGGTGTCTTTTAGTGCATTAAATTCCGCGTCGATTGATGTTAAATACGTCAAAATCGGCCGAGCCGTTTAGTCGCTGTAGCTTTTCAAAGTTGGGATATTTTCATCAACGTGGCCAAAAGGTTGATTATTTGACCAGTTTTCGGCTTAAAACTCCTAAACGACGCATGCTATACAAAAATGCGCCTGTAGTTAGTTTGGAAAACCCAAAATTCTGCCTAGAATTATGATTATGAATGACTAGATAGTGTTTTTTCATGGTTATCATCCAGAGGTTTATCCAAGAATGTGTGAAGGGAAGGGTAGCAAGACCCCCTATGCAATTTTAAATCTAATATTGTTGAGGAGGTTACAAAAATTCTAGGATTCGTCCTAAGCTCCTATTTATACGATCCCATCTCTGGACACTCCCGAATGATGTTATTCGGCAAAAATGTTATTTTTTAGCTTAATAAACGAAAGATGATAATGGGACGGATGTACATAGTTTTACTATGTATATAGCCTATTAAAAAAAAGATTGGGATTTTTCGTAGATTTTACCATATAACTTTTCTACTTCTCATCATTGGAATCTTAAGAATAAGGATTCATTCTTAGCTCTTATTGGTCTTGCCACAAATGGTGACATTCGGTACCATCTTTTTCGTCAGATATCGAATTGAGATAATCGTGCCCCTTGCAAGTCTTTTAGACAGTAGTGCATTATATCCCTGCATTTCATATGGAGCGAGAAAATGTAAACCTTTTTAACATGTACACGATGGTCGAGATAGGTAGACGGAGTTGAGAAGTTCTTGTCGAACCGGTGGATTAGCCGTAGTGATGGGAGATAACTCATTGACGTTAATTTTCCATACCTATCTCTCTGAATTAAGTACAACTTTAAATGAGCTCTAAAGGATTGGTGAATGAGCAGCCCCTTTTGTTAAAATCAAAGTCAAAATTAGTTGAAAGTGTCCTCTAGAAGAGACCAACCCTCACTTGATTTGGATATTTTCTGCTCCCAACCATGTATAGGGCCAACCTGCTTCTGCAACTTCGCCAAGCGTTGTAACCCGTCAGAACACAGTGAGATCCACATTGATTGGAGTAAACAGCATGAGTAGTTTTAGGCTACATGAATAGTTAGATTTTCGACTCTTCTACATCACGCTTTCTTCATAAAACTGCGCTAGTGGGTACGGACCTATTTTTAATCCAAAGTATGATTCAAATTGAGGCTTGGATTTAATGTGGAATATCAAGTGTTGACTGAGGGGGCAGATTCTTCTTTAACCTTTGCTGTTGCCATCACAGCTCGCGATTAATGTCACCACTTCCTTTTATTCTGCACAGTTTATGGTCATTATAGGCTTGCCTATTTACGATTTTCTTGCAAGCTGCGCCTTTCCATTATGCTTTATACATATCTCGCGTTGATGCTATAATATGGGATAACTGCTGAGCTGATTGAGATGAGCGAACTATTTTCAGTAAATGGATCGTGACACTGGAACCATTTGATAAAATTCCTTTTTGGTCCCACCGTATCCGTGGAGTTTATATTGTCAACTTGCTGATAATATGTTGAAGAGTTGATCCCACAATATACCTTAACTTGATGGGTAGCATTCACTGCGATGGGCCTGCCAGCGAACCATGGGGCTAGATCCACATCATTGATTCCCCTATCTCGGAAAAAGCTCTCCACAGTAAGATGTTGCTCTCATGAGCACTTACTTGTTCATAGGCCATGCTGCAGGATCCATGACGTCACACTAGTGGATAGATTCACTGCCATATCCCCTATGTTTTTTGTAATTAGGCTGGTTGTTTGCCAGATTTCAATGGTAAGATTTTAAACTTGACAAGCATCTGATCTGGTGTTAACAATCAATAGCGGTTAAATGGTGAAGCCGATCTTAATGAATTTGGAAAACAATCTACGCAGACGTTTATGCTCTTCAAACTAACTACAGGGACATTTTTTCTATAGCATGCGTTAGAAGATGTAAGCCAAAAACTGAAAGATGAATACAGAGATAGATCTATATAATGGGTGGTTGGGATGAATTTTCGGAACCTCAGATATTAGACTTAAAATTACATAGGGGGTCTTACTCTCATCACACCTTATTAGACAAACCTCTAGATGACCATGAATATCCTCATGGAATAGACCACTATCTAATAATTCATAATCCATTTAAGGACAGGATCTATGTTGTTACCAATTTTATTAAAATTTCCCAACTTTAACTTTAATACTTTTTTTCTCAATGAAATAGCGTCCATACAAAGTAGGTAACAATCAATTACCGTTATTGATTAATAAAAAAAACATTATACGCAGAATTTTATGTTTTCCTAACTAACTACAGGTGCATTTTTGTATAGCATGCGTCGTTTAGGAGTTTTAAGCCGAAAACTTGTCAAATAATCAACCTTTTGGCCATGTTGATGAAAATATCCCAACTTTGAAAAGCCACAGCGGCTAAACGGCTCGGCCGATTTTGACGTATTTAACATCAATCGACGCGGAATTTAATGCACTATTTGAACAACATTTTCCTTAGGATTCGTTATTTAGGAGTTATAAGCGAAAAACTGAAAGAAGTGCAACATTTTCATAGTTTTTCGACTCCCCACAGGAGTCTTATTTGGGACCCCCAAAAGGTATTAAAACACTTTCCAGCTTTAGACGATTTTTTGGGGAGCACACCCTATATTTGATCTAATTTGCCTGGACTATTTGGGGGCCGAGCAGGTTTTTTAATTCCTAGGAAGGCAAAATCAGCTGCCCGCTTACTTTCTTAAAACATTAATGCAATACACGATCAGTATCCGATAGCATTGTAATAGAATTGTTTCATTGTCACCGCTGCCTAGCAACTATTAATTGTTATTTTTGCAGATTTCTCAAATTATTTCTTCACATAACCTTTAAAAGTTGTAGTTGTGTTGACTATCAGCAGCAGCTATCAGTGTGCATTATTATTGTGGTGAATGGTGGTAATAGGGTATAGTGTGATGAAAAATAGCGTTCGTGGCTAGAGATATACAAGGGCTAGGCCACGCGAGCTCAGAAAGTGATGCCAGGTGGCTCCCCACCATTCCGCCGCTGTGACGTCACGGCGATACCTCGGGCTCCCGGCACCGTATATCTTTGCCTGTGTGAGCGCTGGTATTACCGCACATTTAGCGTTTATTAAGCTCTATGTTGGACATTTTTTATTAGGTATTAATGTATTTTATAAAAGTAATTGATTTTCAAATAGGATTACGTATAACATCAATTTTAATAAGTAAAAAATTAACTTTAGTAGGTATTTAAGGATGGGAGTGGAATGTAAAGCGATGGCTAAGAATACTGTAGTTATTGATCCAATGCATTAAGTTACTGTGTAATATCAGTGTTCGTATTGCTCGAATGTATCTTAATGTATGGATTATTAATTGTATTGATTTATTACTTATTCATACCTTTTAGGATTCATTGAGGTTATATAAAATACATTGAGGTTGTATAAAAATACATTACCTATACTTAGTATTTTGTAACTTTTACAGGAAGGAAAAGAATTTCAATAAATCAATTACATTTTATTATAGGCCCTACATATTTCAATACATTAAAATAACATATAGGTAGTTGCAAAAATACATTAAGTTGCCTGACTAACTAATCTCAATCTCTGTTGACCAATAACTAACAAGTCGAGTTTTGGTGTGATTTTACTTTATCAGTTTACATCGTAATTATAAGTTGTAAATGTTTAGTTACGATATTATTTATTGTGCCTCGACTGTAATGTGACATTACTTTTAGAAACTTGAGACACTATTTTTTAGCCAGTTTTTGTGAACTTCATTGACTGTTTACCAACAACGAATATCGCGGGTTTGACTTAATCACTTTAATCGTATTTATTAGTTGTAAAAATTGTACTTATTTAGTTTATAAACTGTTTTATGAGGATATACTTACTTAATTTGAGGTCTGGGACATTACATTTAGTCCGTTTTTTTTAATTTCGTCATAATTAACAAACGATTTAATCGCCAAATGAAAAAGGCACAGCAGCATTTTATAGAAAAAACTATAAAATATTTATTTTTGTATATTTGCCTTTATAACTATGTATATTCATGAAGGGGAATAAGTTTAATTTCATTTTATATAGTTGGTTTGTGGGGTTTTAAAAATAATATATACGTGTGAATAACAAAATGTTTTTCTAGACAAATATAAACATTTATTAAAAGTCATAAACATCTATTGAAATGATCAGTATTGACATAAACAATTCTTACTTCATTTGATATCCAATATTATTGCCTAAAAATGTTTACTTTTGCTTTATCTCTTGATAATACATTTATTTGGTTTTATTTGAAATTTGTTGTGCAAAATCGTGAAACTTGTCATTTTATTGTTTTTGGGCCATAACTTTTTATAAATGGTAATTGGAATCTTTTTCCATTTCCATGTAGGGAAATAAATTCCAAACAATTTGTATATCTTATGAAACATTTTTGGTTCATGCAGCAATTTTTCTACCTACTGACAATATTTTCTACAATACTTTAAATATTTATTTTGTTGCCATTTTAAAATTCTTCATTTCATTACGAACACTTCAAGTTGGAAATAATAAATACGGTTCATAGGTTTGATCTGTTGGTTTAGTTTATATGAATTTTCGTAAATATGACTGCAAAATCGCCAAAAATGCCTTGCCACTACAGAGTTCGCCCATTGCAAGTTGGAGGGTTAACGAAACCCGCTTTAAAAATCACACTATAAAACTAAATTATTATAAACACAATTTTAATATGCGCGTAGATGCCGGGCGACATATGCACTGCCGTGCTACCGTCGCGCCTCGCGCCGATGTATCTCCGCTACGTCATTGTGGAAGGGCGGGGGAGGGGAAGTAGGATCAGGCGGCGACCGCTAACATCAAAGGAGTGAGCCAGCCCTTGTTCGTACCACGGACCGAAATGGTTTTGCAGCTCTCAATCGTTTTAAGTTCTCGACTTCGTCTCGAAATTAAAAACTATCTCGAGCTGGCAAAACCTAATTTTGGGCCCTAGGTACGAAACATACTGATTTATCAATCAGGTGGAACATTATTTATTTTATAGTGTGCAATTACCTAGAGCCTTTCCACTAGTTTACCCTTGAGATAATCCCAAGATGTTAAAGCCATGTCTCACGGGATTTTAAATTTCAAACTTTCATTTTTAAAGTAAATGTATTTTATTAGTAACTAAATCAGTTTACATAGTTACTCTTACTCCCATAGTCATTTAAACCCAAGAAGCGATTATGTAAACTTTTCATGTCTTTTTCATCTAACTTTCCACCTCTTTTTTGGGAGTCCAAGAGGGTTTTATCTGAGTTTTTGGGTAATTGGCTGGAAGCAGATGGAGGAGGGTAGCCACACATAGTGACCACCGACTGGATTCTGTGTTTTGTCAGTCCTAGGACTCATATGTGTTGAGGATGGTTGGATACAGAGAGAAAGGTTTGGCCCAGGATGGAGCAGTAGGCAGGGTGTGATTATTTTATTACTTGTATTTTTACATTCGTAAATTTTCTGTTCCATGACGGCCGCAGTGGGCTTTTTCCTACCTCAATAAGTTACCTTATCAAAAATAATTATTATTTTGAAAAATTTTCTGACTGCGCCATTACCCTCTCCCTCACGGTAATCCATTGGAAAAAATATGATTATGGTACACCTAACATATACTAACAGTGATTTACAACCACGCATAAAATTCATCACCAAATTGTAAAATAGCCTTACTCGTGCATCAGAGTTTGTGTTGGATCTATTTTTGTTTTTTTTTTGCTCCCAACATTTATTGTGAAGCTGATTTACATTAACGGGATATTTCTAGGACGATGAAAGGCTTCAGTTTCAAAGTGGATTGAAAATCTATGGGGATGATGTGTGGACGTTGAGCTGTCGATTTCAAAACTTCTACTTGAATCAGGTCCCCAACGAGGAGGTTAACTACAGAATTAATAAAGGAAGATTATCTGAACTTGTGAAGAATACCAGGTACGTTAGATTCATTTTGGAAATATTTTATTTAATTTTAAGTTTTGTTGTTCATTTTGTATATCGGTGTGAAACAACCAAATTAGAATTTTATAGCTGAGAAATTGGCAAGAGGAACTACAAATAGTTTGAAAATAAAATCATAGTTTATTAAACAAATAGGCTATTAAAATTTATTTTACTGTACAATTTTTATAAACTTATTTTGAGGAACATTAGTTTTAATGAATTTCCCTATCATCTGACATTGCAATGTTGATATTACCATTATTGTTATTTTGTTATTTATTTATTGACAAAGCCAACACATCTAAGGCGAAGATGAAATTTTTTTAATACTGTACATAATACATTCAAACTCTTGATTCAAACAATATTCAATTTATGTGTTGGCCTCATAAGTAATCAATACAGTGGCATTGTTATATTTATTTTATTTTCTTCTTAATGTAACTTATTTGAACTGTTGTAATTTTTCCTTTGGCAATAAGTTTTAATTTAGCCTCTGCATATGATGTTTTAAGGTCTTAAGGATGTGATGGACCAGAATGGGTTATTAATATTGTGACCATGAGTTTACTGAGTTCTTACAGAATGTGTAGTAGAAAACATGTAAAATTCAATATCAAAATTTAGCTGGTTTTGGTTTTTAGTTATCTATTTTTAGTTATGGTTATCATTATTCTATGCATTATTTTATTTTAAGTCTTATATAAATTATTTCCTTTTTCAGATGTGACCCGGCTGTTGTGGCAAATTCTCATGCATCTGCAATTGAGTTTCACTACCTTTGATGTTCAATATGTTGACTAATTTAAAACTATCAGGGAGGTAGCATTTTCATCGTAGGGATTACAGATTCATGTTGTAATTCTCTTGTTTATACAAACGAGATAAACACTAGTATATATTTTCCCCAATGGCATGAGACATGTAGAATTCATAGTTTCTAAAATCTTCGAAAACAATAGCACGAGAAATTAAATATTTCAACCATCCTTAAGATTGGCATTTTTACAGAGACAGATTCCAAGTCCAGAGATTTCCTAGTCAGTCATAGGTAGGTATGTTTGGCTTTTGAGAGCGGCGATCAGCACAGTACATTAGGCTACTATAATTTCCGAACTAAAATTACACTCCTATACAAAAGATTAACCCTGATCTTAAACTGATATGATAAAGCATCATAAGTCCAATGAAGAGTCCCGTAATATACCAAAGCGATTCCCCACCACATGTAAATATAAACCCATGCCAGAAAAAAACGAGAGTTCCTGCGGATAAAAAATACAATACGCATGTAATTGATGAAATGTAGCAAAACGCTAATGGACTATCACTAATTTCACAAACCAAAACAGTCATCAATTAAGTCATCAATACTATTAAGTTTTATCAATCAATTTAAAAATTCAATACAACATTATTGGTCAGGATTTTCCAGAGACATTATTGGACCTGGAGCATACTCCGTTCCCAGCATTTAGGTTGTTTAAGGGGAGTTCCCACACCACTTCTTTTTGCCTTAAGTATATTGCAGATGATTGACGTTTTAACAAATCTCACTTGTTGAGCTATGTTTTAATTGTAGGATCACGAATACTTGAACAGAACCTCATAAACATACACAAATTACGTTGCTGGCCCGAATCCAATAGGCCTACTAATAGCATTAACATAAAATGGTTTAGACATTTCCGTTTAAGCAATGTAATTTAATAATTTTTTTTGCCAGAAACATAATTTTTTTAAGTTTATGATCCATCTTCTGTTCAAGTATTCGTGGGTAGAATCAAGACGTGAAGGGGATAGATTTCTTCCCCCAAAATTTCCAAAATTTTGTGAATTGATTGAAGTCAGCTGAATATCTTGATTAAACTTTCCTGAATGAAATAATGTTTTCAAAATTTTTTTACACTACCAGTTACTGATACTGTTTGTAATTTAAAAAATGAATCCTTTAATTTGATAGTCTAATCCTGTAATGCAATGCTAAACTATTACGGGCTGTGTTTATATTGTTAACTAATTGTTAAATATGTATGAGTTTATTTATTTATTGTAAATTTAAACATGCATGTTAATAGAAAACAGAGAGTGTTGTTTTCCCTATTCTGTTCTACAACAAATTACATATCAAGTACATCACTACCTTTTCCAATTTTATTTGAGAAACACTTATTTTTATTTCAGAACATATCAATTTTGTAATTGAGATTAGTCAAATATATTTTAGATTTACATTAAATGAAGTTAAGAACAGTTAGTTGTATTTGAGAAGGTATCAAAATTAATTTAAGAGCAGTAATAGTATATTTTATCACTAGGGCCGAAAGTGACTCTTTTTGACCCGGGGTCAAGCAAGGGATAAAAGTAACTTTTTGCCCGTGTGGTGAACTATATTTTTCGTCATATTGCATCATTAATTAACAAACAAAGCTAGAAAAAGAATTAATTTTTATGTGAAGATAACCTCTCAAAATGACTTCCAGATTGTTTTTAATTCTGCGAATGCAAATAAGCAGTCGTATAGTAAGTGATTCAATAATTTCGTCTATTTCGATTGTGTTACAGTACATTATCTATATAAATAAAATTAGAGTTTTGTCTGTACATTGCGTAGAATTATAAATGTTCCCTATCAACAAAAATTTTTGGGCATTGGTTGGCCCTACAAACTGTCTCCTACGGTTGGCCAACTGTATGTATTGGCCAACCTTGCCTCCGTTGGGGCACACCACCAATTTCCAACCAAGGGCCAACATCTGTACAATTTGTTGAGCCAACTATTATATTTAGTACGAAAATCATAATTATCAGTTGAGTATTTTGATTAAATATTTCATTAAAGCAAATTTTGAAAGAACCTAGAACAAACATTCTCTTCTCCAGACGGGTCTTGAACCTGGAACCTTAAATTTATGAACCTTATACTTGACCTCTGAGCTATCTGTGATTTTTGGTGATCACCGTTTTCAAGCAGGGCCGACAGTTGCAATGGTTGCAATACTTAAAAATATTTTTGATATGCCTCATGATTCTGTTTAATCATCAAGTTGTCGAATTTATTTCTGGGAGTTGGAGAGGATACCGGCATTTGACTATAATTTAATTCATTACTATTAATTCATTACGTTTTATAATTAATTGTTATATGATTAAATAATCTTATCCCTTAAATTGTTCAACTATTAAACATTTTCTTAAATAAAGTTTAAGAGTTTTAATATAAAAAAATTATTTGCATTATTGTTATTATATTTTAAGTAGGTGTTCTACCACTATTCGCAACTATCACAGCATCAGACACCACTTTAAAAGTGGGATGCTTTATTTTTGGTCAGGTTTCAAATTGGCCAGGTCAATTTAAATCAGTCAGCTTGGTAAAGTCTGCCTCCCCGTCTGCTATCAGTTTGGTCACCTGTCCAGTTTCAAACATGACTAAATTAAAGGTGAAGGCGTCAGAAGATAAGGGATTGGCTACATAAATACGTCAATGGATAAGGGAACTAAAAGCAAATAAATTTAAAGCTACATGGCGTTTAATAGCCCTGGTAAAAGCATACTAAAAAAAAGGAAGAAAATAATGAAATCAACCACTGAAGGAAGAAGAAGAACACAACACAAAAACAAAACAAAATAAAATGGTGAATCGGATCGGCATCAGATCAGGTTAGGTTAGGTAGGTTCAGGCAGTGAGTGTTGTTATTCTATAACCTCGTTCTTGCTTCAGTCAGTATTTTACTTAATGAAATTTTATATTTGTATTTACAATTTTTTTTTAAATGGGCCATATTACTTATTATTAAAAAAACATTAAATATTATATGAACAATCATGGATGTTACTAGGGAAAGTAAGTATGGTGAAGTAGACTAGGAGCCTAACTTACTGTACTCATTCAGTTAATATTATTTTTTACGACTTACGCCAAACCTAAACACTAGTAGTCTAGCTTAGGCAAGTTAAAAAAAACCGATTTAAATTAGTTGACACTAAAATAAAAACCTCCTGATTTCCAACTCATTTTAGTTAACCTGGTACTGTAGGTAAACATAGGTACCGGTAGGCCTAATAGACAAATTTAAGTACAGTCTGGTCTGCATTTTGAGAAATAAGTTATGCCTAGCCTAGAGCCTAAAAGAAACCTAATTTAATTGAAAAATGCAGCAACACCTAGGCCTAGGCTAATATAAGACCACAACATAATCAGGTACAGGTGCTATGGTCAGTTGTTACTTATTCTGACAAATCCATGATTAGAGATAACCTAGGCTCAATCTAGGCTACAGATTGTAGTATATTTGATACTTAAATCTGAAAAGGCGATTTTATATGTATTTAATATAGGCCTTAATAAATAAGTTATATCTTGTAAAACAGCACTTCTTGTAGAAAATCAGATTTGTATAAACACAGAGGATACGCGTCCGGTAACCAGACGTGGATTAGGCGTCCGGTAGTGACGTTACCGGGTTGTGGGGTCCCGGAACGCCATTACCACAACAATACGATGTTCGGCCAGCGTTGTTCGTGGTGTAGTGGATAGAGTGCTTGGCTGATATCCAAGAGGTCCCTGGTTTGAAACCCATCGGTTTCTTTAACTTTTTGTCACAGATTTTGCTTTGAATGTAATTTCTTCATAACTGTACCGTACATCTTTTGTTAGAACTTTTGGCATTTATAATTTTATGTTATGAAGAGAATTGAACCTTCATTTGATTTTTTTTCATTATCAGCAAGTTTGGTTGGTTAGGTTAGGTTATGACAGTAACTGCAGGACGCCTAATCCACGTCTGGTTACTGGACGCGTATCCTCTGCGTTGTATAAAATCTAAATGTGTGTTTTATAACTTACGTGTGTCCCTACATTACACCATATGTGATGTCTATGACGTCATTCAGGTGATTTTAATTAGTTCAATTCCCATTGGCTGCCTTGACCGTGCCATAGGCCTACCTGTGTAACTTATCTTACCACTACTCAAGTCTGTCCTAGTCCAGCGACCGTCTGTGCCGCCCGTGGTATTAACTAATTAAGCAGGCTATTTTTTTTTTTTTTTACTTTAGTCCCCTCTCCTGTCAAGTTAAAACTTTACAGTGGCGACATAACACAGACTAATGTTTATCTAATGTAGGTAAGTTAGGCCTAATTTAGCCTAAACATAATTTCATGAACAGAGTAAACTTAATGTAAGTTAATAGGCCTATACAGTGGCAGTGAACAACTTAGGCCTACCATTTACTTAGGTTACAGAAAACTGCAGAGAAAAAAAAACTACCAGAACCTATTTTTAAAGTCTCATTTGATGCTGTAAGTTAGTTAGTTGGAATCTTATTTTTGCAGTTCATCAAAGACATGTGATGGAAATATATCCACATTAGTTAATGGTTATAAACTGGTTAATGTTTATGGTTAATTATATTAAGTACAGTAACCATTTAGTTCACTCTACTATGGTGCTATACCCTACTTTTTGCACTGTGACGTTGAACATGTCAAAAACGTTTTCCGCGGTTAAGTTTAACTTTAACTTAAGTTAGTCTTTATTAAGTTAACTTTTTTGTTTTGTTACCTACTTTTCATTAAATAAGTAGGCCTAACTTAAAATTTATTTTGGGTTTGATAAGTTAAGTTAGCCTAGTTTAATTTATTATAATGAAAACAAAAACGTAAACAAATCATTACCGGTAATCAATTCAATGTTTACATTAGGAAAAACATAAACAGTATTTTGTAACTGATTGGATTTAACATATTATTCATCGGATAAAATATTGTTTGTTCTCTGCGGGACTGTACCCCCCAATGATCAAGGACAGTTGTGTCCAGTTTTGAAATGACTAAGAGCTAGGCTAGCAGTTTTTTCATCAAGATGGGATTCAGTTAAGGTTTGCAGAGAAAGCGATACTCATCCCCTTTAAATTTGAATGGAAGTGTCAGTTAAAAGGGGTTATTGTTTATGTTTTACTAGCTAAGTAGTTAATTCATAACATCTTTTCTTTATATTTATTTCAGATTTCCGAAAGATTTTGCCTGAAATTGAGGAGACAATAAATAGATGCGTTTTTATGGCCATTGATGGAGAATTTACTGGATTATCGTCAGGACTCGAAGAAGCGCTATCACCTTTTGATACTCCGGCTGAGTACTATCATAAAACAAAGGCAAACTCTATGGATTTTCTCTTTATACAATTTGGTCTTGTAGCATTCATGTACAACAAAGAGGAAAAGAAGTATGTATGCATTTTTTTAAGCTAAAAAATATGTTATTTTTTTATGGGAGTTTTAAAAAATGAATCATTGTAGTTTACTTGAATGTCAGATAACCTTGCAAAATAACTTATTGACATTTTTTATGCCATAATGAAGTTTTTAGGTTAGCGATAAATATTTGTACGGTATCTAGGTCCTAGCGAGATAACTGCTGTTTTTTTTTTCAGTGGGATTTTGAAATGAAGTTAAGTCAAATGCTTTCACGGGAAAGTGGTCCAAACCCATTAAATCTTTTGCGGACCTGCTGGAATTGAACCCGTTGTGAATGTTGAACTGATGAACTGCAATAAGTCTTCGTGAAATGCTAAATTTAATAAAAAAAAGACAAATGCTGGCAAATACTGCCCAAGATTTTGGATGCGTTCACTTATTCATCTTTGGGGCAAAATAAAATGTAATCTCAATTAAACATCAATTTTAATTGTAGTTTGACTCCAAAGACGGATCGGTGAAATACATGCAAAACATCCATCAGTATTTTCAAAATTTGCTTTACATTTAGGGTATAGCTTTTATTTGAAACTGAAAAAAGGTAATGTAAAAAAAGGTAAGTTCCAATTAACTTACTGTGAATAAAACAAACAATTTCAATCTTATTTTCTGTTTCAGATACACAAATCGAGCGTACAACTTCTACATGTTCCCCAAACCTATGAGTAGACAAGCCCCAGACTGTAGGTTTATGTGTCAGACCTCTAGTTTAGATTTTCTGGCTTCGCATGGGTTCGACTTCAACAAACTATTCCGACAAGGTATGTTGATTCCTTGTGTTCACGAATAAGCCTTCATCAATTAACCAATTACTCCATTAACGAACATATAGGCCTAAACATTAAATTACTGTAGTCATTTTTGATTCAACTCAAAGTCTAAACAGTATTATAGTTTTAACTTTACAACTAAAAAGCTGTATTAATATGACTCTGTACCAGTAGGCTACCTTATTGTTAGTTACTATACAAAGAACTTTTATTCCAAAAATGTATAAACACTATTTATTTTGTTTCTTGCATAATCAGTCTGTAAATAAATAAATAAATAATCAGTTTGTTTATTAGCCTTAATCAGTTTTGTTTCCCTAGGCATTCCGTATCTAAACAAGAGGGATGAAACTGCAATGAGGACCAAACTGGAAGAAGCGAGGGAAAAGCGGAAGTCTTTTTCAGTAGACAGAAATAATTCTTTTGTAGAATGTCCCCCCGAACATAGGGATGAAGTGAAAAATGCAGTGTAAGTACCGTAATGCTTTTTTCATAGTTGTTCAGTGGAACCTTAACAAGACCCCCTAAAACGAGTGGCCCTTGGTAACAAGTGTCATTGTAAAATAGCCTTGAGTTTTATTACCCTTAATTACATTTTATCGAGTAGCTTGATAAGAAGTTAACTATAATAACATGTCTTATTTGAGTAATTCTCACATGAGACGTGTTACTAAGGTTCAAATGTGATTCTACCAAAGAATATTTACACCGTAGGCTATGTGTTAATAAGTCACGACTTAGGTACTTCTGCATCTCTTAACCAATTCATACATAACCCCACCAATTCTGTGCTGCATCACTCAAATCAATAATTTATTGCATAATGTTGTTTATATTTTTATAGGCTAAGTTTTGGGAAACAGAATCTGAATCGAGAACTGACCGCATAATGTTGGGTATTTAGTTTCTACCAACAGATTTTGAATCTAGGATTCTGCCATATAATGTTGATTCTGAATCTACCAATTGTGTGATTATATTAAGTTTGTTTCCGATTCCATCAATTCATTTTGGAACACAAAATTGGAATGAGAATCGACCGCATAATATGGGTTTTGTTTGCTAGACTATGTTGGCTATAAATCCATTAATAAAAAAATACAATAATTTATTTAACTTCTGCTCTTATAACAACACTACAAAATATTTTGGCAACATAGGCAGCTTTTTCATTTGTTGTACAAATGCTATTGTTAAAGATGTTTTAGACAAAATCAATTTACAACATTGAAAATATTGCGATATCACTTTGTTTACCACAGATCATTGAATCTTTGACAAGAAATTCCCCTCAAAATCCTAACACAAGGGACCATAAATAAATTTGATCATAATGCATGCAGTGTTTGTAGGTCTATAGGCCTACACAATTTGATCCTAGGTTAGCCTATTTAATTTTAAAATGTTCATGTGGAATTTGAATCTAGGTCCAATCTAAAAGAAAAAAGGTTTAAAATAACTGTCATGTCTAGTTATCTTGTATTTCATTGATAATTATAGTCACTAAACAAAAGCTGATAGGCCTACTAGGAGAAAATATTGGTTAAGTTTTTTTGTTAACACGTTCGCTGCTACGGACGTTCCGGAACGTCAGCCGGGCCACGGCGCCAGGAGCTAAGAACGTTCCAGAACGTCACCGTTCATTGTTGTTTAACGTTGCTATGGATAAGCCAGCACGTCACAAGCGTTCTATATTTCTTTGCAGCTCGTGGGGACGTACTTTTCTGACAATAAAAAATATAGTTTTTCCAAATCACCACCAGGGTCGTTTGGAACAGGGCTTTGTTTTACCTCTTTCCTGCTAGATAGCGATACTACTTTAACGACTGTAACCTGGGTAGTGCTGCTATCTATCAGAATCACTTAGTACTATATCCAAAGCCAGTTTTATTGCAGAACATTGCCATCCAGTATAACTACTGTTGTTTTTATTGTAATTCAGTGTATCGGTGGCAATGTCACGCAGCGGCCGAGCGTTAGTTCAGCAACTGGCGCCGTCCCGGCATCTAGTGCTCAGCAGCGAACGTGTTAAGATAGTTTATCTGAGTTAGGAACATATCTATTCTTTATTGGGATAAGATAAGGAGAATATCCATGAATTGGTGTATTAGAGCAGGCTAATTTTGCAGGATTATTTGTTGAACTCATATCCAGTTGGCTAATATTTAGTAGGCTATTCAATTATAATACAGTGGAATAAATTAAATAGAAAAGAAAGATAATTCCTTCCATTCCATTTAATTGGTGAAAACCCAGAATCATAAAGAAAAACATATTGTGTTGAAATACTTAAATGATAACAGACATAAAACGTCATAACATAACCTAAAAAAATAAATAATAGAGAAATAAAAGAATATTCCTGTGTCAATAGGTTAAGCAAATATTATAAACCCTACTCATGAAATCCAGCTATTGGCTTTATTTTACGTTATCCCGTTATCTGTCACAGTGATTTATATTTTATCGTAATAAGATCCCGCCAATGCATCATCCAATAATAAGACCTTGAAGACTATAAAATGACCTATTCTTTTATGTAGGCCTAGCTTTTTTACTCTATTTTAGCAGCATTTCCGTTATCCTTGCAATAAAGTTTACATTTAGACTTAGCTCAGTAATTGGGCTTTGCTGAAGTTCCAAACAGGCTGAAAGTAAAAATATAAAACATTTTCTTTTTCAGAAACCTCATAGTGGACTTTCTATCCACCAAACAAGGGGGGCAAGAGTTGGTTTTGCCGCAGACGACGGCATTTATCCGTAAACTGGTCTATCAAGAGATCCACAAGCGATACTCTACTGATGAGATGCACGTGGAGACCAAGAACGGAGTTATGGTGGTGAAACACCCATTGACAGAGGAACAGAAAGCCGAAGAGGAGAAAAAGAAGATGGAGGAAGAAGAGGCAAGCATAGATGACGCTGTAGGGTTCTCCACTGTCATCAAACTCATATCACAATCAGTAAGTAGTTAATCTCAGGAGTATGGATATCTATTGTTTTTAAATTACTAGTACTGTGAACATGTTTCAAAGCCAGAATGTTACAATAACAGTGAAATTCCTATGGTCTGAACATGGACTGATCCTATTGTTGATTACTCAAATTAGGCCTATTCCTAGATGAGATAGAATATCGTTAAGTCTTTAACCAGTGGTTTAAGCCAGGGACGTATTTAACTATCAGCCTCCCCCTCCCTCATCAGCGCGTTGACCAACCACACTAAGATTACCCCACATGCCCTGCCAGCTGTTTTTGTAGAAAAGTAATCAGCAATTGCATGCTGCATCAACAAATCTAATAACATTTTGATTGAACCCTTGATTACAGACGTTTTTGTTTTGCCGTTTTCATGCAAAACGCGATTCTGTTTTGCATACATGGAATGCAACGTTGTTGTATCCAATCAGAAGAGTCATAATTGCGTTTTGCGGTGCGTAAACGGTCGACAAGAACGTCTGTACAAGGGTTCTTATAGCCTAACGCTTTTCATTGAAAACTCTTATTCAGATATACAATCATTAAATTTATTTATTTACAAAACTGTTTTATTTTAAAGCTAAATGATTCAAAACAAAAAAGTAAGTATAAAAAAGTAAAAGGATCTGACTTAAAGTGTTCAGTGAAAAGTATTATAAACATTATATATCCATGACAGATCCTACTTTAAAGAATAACATACAATTTTGCATGAGTTAAGTAGTTAGTTCACACTTTTCTCCTTGATTTAAACCTTGAAAACGAATCAATAACTGAACTAGACCAAGGAGTTTAGCAGTTAGTTCTCCTTCAATATTCAAGACTGCTAGTTAAAGAAGTCTTTCTTCAGAAGATCGACTTCTTAAATAATATGTTGCCATTTCAAGGCATGAAAACGACATTTCTGGTGAGCAGTTTGATATAGCTGTGCTTGCAAATATCCTTAAGCTACATCTACATTTGGACAAACTGATTTAAGATCTTCTTCTCAAAAGTTTTTCAAAAGCCTTGGCTTTGAGTTTGAGTTTAATATAATTTTTCTCTTCATCTTAGCTGGGGTTTTCTATCTTTTTCAAGTCTTGCCTTTACACTTTCAATATAGGATTTGAGGTGTACAAACATGTTAGTTTGAACAACAAGAAATAAAAATATTGACTTCTAAATATTTAATGCTTGTAATAATGATAATAGGTTAAATACCTTATTTACGTCTTCAATCCAAAGTAGTCTTTTATGATTACTATAGTTTCGGGGCTAACAGCTCCATTGTCAAATCTTCTTGTCTTTGTTAAATTACAGTGAATAGCATTGGTCATAGTTGAAGATCACATAGACATACACTCACACTCGAAACATTAATATATACAAGTGACATTGAAAATTTGTATTTTGGCTGGCCTAAACAAAAATGATTAAAGTAGTGGTTGTACGGACCGGTACATTGACTGACTGATTCATGTTATGCGATACCCTGGAGACGTTGACCTTGGCTTTGGGGGAGGGGGGAGATCAGCTGTTTGTCACTATTTCTATTGTTCAATGATTCAATGCGATCGAACAGAAAGTTGGAGTTGAAAGTTAGTTTTTCATTTAACACATCATTTGGCGATTTTTTGAAAGCTTTATAAATTTCGTAGCTTTCTAGGACGTTCCATCACAGGGCCTTTATTACATTTATGTAAAATTTTTAATCCTCCATTGGAACTTTTTATGGAATGGTTTTCTTTCTGCAGGTGTTCGGCAATCTTAGAACGCTGTGAATGCAATTTAGGTTTAGGGAGATGTTCTTTAAACCTTTGTCTAAAGGATCGACCTTATTGTCCTATGTACATACTAGGGCAATCATTGCAATTTATTTTATAGACACCCGTATCGTCCAAGTTGTTATTGATATTATTACGCCGATACGTGTTTAAATGATGTTCTATCTTATTTGAGGTTTTGCATGCCAGGGTGATATTTTTATTTTGTTTCCTAAGTTCATTTTTAAACTGTGGGAAATACTGTTGAGATAATTGTTGAATAAATTAAGTTGTCTTGCATTACCGTTGAAAAGTACAATTGTGTTGTCCAAATACCTTTTGTAAAACAATATCTTGTTGGCAAATTTGTTGTTGTTAGAAAATGTAGACACACCATTGCTTCGTTCGACATTATTAATTTATATACAAATGTCCCGATTCCAGAAACCCTTGACATAACCATGAATAATTTATTAAATGATTCAGAACTTAGCCCTGAAGCCATAAATGAAATAATAACCCTTCTAAGATGGTCCTAGAGCAGAACTATTTCACCTTTGATAATAAATACTTTCTACAGAATGACGGTTTGGCCATGGGTTCACCCTTATCAAGTATTCTTTCTGAGATATATTTGAACCACTTTGAAAATGAACATATATTTTCTAACAACAACAAATTTGCCAACAAGATATTGTTTTACAAAAGGTATGTGGACGACACAATTGTACAGGGTGAGGCAATGAGAACGCTACAATTTGTTTTACATGTCACATGTTAATTGTTGCAACAATGAATGATCAGCTGTGCTTAAAACATCAATTAAACTATGCCATTTTAGTAAATATTATGCCTGAGGCTATCAACACTGAGATTTTGATGTGGAAACCTATTTATAAAATAGTGGTTCTTGTGCAAAACCCCAGAGATTGTTTGGACCGTATTCCATCCTTGGTCAACATTGCGCCGTTCCAGATTGGAAAACAATGTTGAACTGGGTAAAATTATTTAGGATAATCGCTTTAAAAAAAAAATAAAAAAAAAATAATCGGTGGGTGCCGCAAAACTCTTTGTACACCAGCAAATGTTAAAAGAATATGAGTCCCAGTAACTCAAAGTAAGAAGAGATTTGCCAGGAAGCTTTTGTTGTTTAAAGTTTTACGTTGGCTAATTTTTTTGGGAGGGAGGGGGGGGGGGGTTGTTCTAATAAGCTACTTGACGTTCTAGGTTTTTCAAAGTCACCCGACATTTTTGCTTGAACCGAAGCTAAGGATAGTCCAAAAACTAAAGTGATTCCTTAAGAAGTGCTGGAGGAGTATTTGATGGAGTTTCAAGTGGCTAAAAAGGAATGTCAAGTAGGACAATGAAGTAACTTGTAGGATTTTGTTCTCAAGAAATGGAAAAATGACTTTGTTAAGTTAAAATGGCAAAAGATAAGCTGTGTTTTGGTGTGCTATTTATATCCATAGGGTGAATATTTTTGAGTTTGTACTGTTTATAAATTGGGGCGCTTTCATTGCCCACCCTGTACTTTTCAACGGTAATGCAAGACAATTTAATTCAACAATTATCTCAACAGTATTTCCCACAGCCTCAAATTCACATTGGAGATCGAACAGAACGATTCTATTAATTTCTTAGATTTTACATTATTAAAAGACAATAACAGCTTCAAATACAAAATTTACAGGAAACCCACGGCAACTGATCATACGATACACATCACTTCTAACCATCCTCAATCCCACAAAATGGCTGCCTACAATAGTTTTGTAAACCGACTATTGAGGGTTCCTTTAACAAAAGACGACTATGACAACAAATATTTCATTTTAAAACATATTGCAGTGAAAAATGGTTATCCAAGTACTATCATAGATAAACTAATCAGTAAACAGAAATCCAGAACCGTTAAACTAGAATCTGACAAGTCTGGTCAAAAGTTCGTATCAATTGAATATGGCAATGTCCTCCACTTCACTATTAAAAATGAACTTAGGAAACAAAATATCACCCTGGCATGCAAAACCTCAAATAAGATAGAACATCATTTAAACACGTATCGGCGTAATAATATCAATAACAACTTGGACGACTTGGGTGTCTATAAAATAAATTGCAATGATTGCCCTAGTATGTACATAGGACAAACAGGTCGATCCTTTAGACCAAGGTTTAACGAACATCTCCCTAAACCTAAATTGCATTCACAGCGTTCTAAGATTGCCGAACACCTGCAAAAAGAAAACCATTCCATAAAAAGTTCCAATGGAGGATTAGAAATTTTACATAAATGTAATAAAGGCCCTGTGATGAACGTCCTAGAAAGCTACGAAATTTATAAAGCTTTCAAAAAATCGCCAAATGATGCGTTAAATGAAAAACTAACTTTCAACTCCAACATTCTGTTCGATCGCATTGAATCATTGAACAATAGAAATAGTGACAAACAGCTGATCTCCCCCCTCCCCCAAAGCCAAGGTCAACGTCTCCAGGGTATCGGATAACATGAATCAGTCAGTCAGTGTACCGGTCCGTACAACTACTACGTTAATCATTTTTGTTTTATGCCGGCCAAAATACAAATTTTCAATGTCACTTGTATATATTAATGTTTCGAGTGTGAGTGTATGTCTACATGTGATCTTCAATATGACCAATGCTATTCACAGTAATTTAACAAAGACAAGAAGATTTGACAATGGAGCTGTTAGCCCCGAAACTATAGTAATCATAAAAGACTACTTTGGATTGAAGACGTAAATAAGGTATTTAACCTATTATCATTATTAATCTTTATCAATCCAGGAGGCAAAACATGGATAAATTAATGCTTGTGTGTTAGTCTTAGACTCAGATTTGATCTCTTGGTTTCAACCACAAAAATCACTATTCATACACCCCTTATTTATTTATTCTACTTGAATCACAACAATTACTTTGATTAACCTTTCTCTGTTCGCAGCGCAAGCTGATAGTGGGCCACAACATGCTGCTAGACCTCTGCCATATGATCCACAGATTCTGTGAGCCACTGCCAGACAGCTATCTGGAATTTAAGGAGATTCTCCATAGTGTCTTCCCATAGTGAGTATATTCATAGAACTACGACCATTGAGTAGGGTAGCTGCTGTCATCATGTCGAGGACTTTGTAGTTGGCTCTGATTCAATTGATCAAATGATGATTTGGTCAATAAATGGATGATGAGATGAGCCACAGACTCGAGCTGGCGATCGATATTTCTTTGGGACAGTTCCTGACAAGTCTCGCCTACTGCAAAAAGTACCTTCAGGTGATGGGGAAAGTAAGGTCAGTTCATCGTGTTTCTCTTATTGTCGGAGGGGGACGATGATGCTAATCACACTTTCTTTGAAAGCAGGCGATTTGATGGACAGAGAACGGCAATCTCAATGGTGAGGACCGAGGGGGTTTGCTCCAGATTCCGTTGTGAGTGTTATGAATGGAAATGACAAATCAGAGTCAGTAGCTTCTTATATTAAAGAAGGCCTTTGTACAAAGCGAGATAAGGGTTGCCTGGGTGATCTCTGTGATTCATTATGTTGAAGAATGTGACCTATCAGGGCAAAAGACACTCGGCTAAGCTGAAGTTATGGTAAAGTGTTCCGGTCTGGATCCTGCAGCCCGAAGGGAGTTTAGTAGATAGGACTTGATATTTGCAAGGTGAATTCTACAACAGTGTTTAAATCATCCACTCTAGTTTGTTTTAAGAGGAATATTAAAAACTAGTGTACATGTTGCTCGAATTCGAGCAATAACAAAGTATTACAGGAGTTATTTAAGATTGAATAACAGTCATATTTACAATGAGCTTAAAATATCAACTCAAATATTACCGTTGTGTAACTCAGATCCTGTTTATCTTCGTTATTGATAAACCTAAAGGAGACGTAGGAATTGGCTAACTCTGGAACTCGCTAACTCAGTCGTGTTTCGGAACTGGCTAACTCTGGAACTGGCTTACCGTCCCAGTCAGGAATTGGCTAACTCCGGAACCCGCTAACTCGATTTTGTCCCGCGGCGGAATTCGCTAACTCTGGAAGTCGCTAACCCGGCCGCGCCCACTTCATGGAGCGTTGCCAACCTTGCACGACGAAATAGTCGTACCCTTCCGTAATTCAAAACGTCAGTGTCAATATAAAGATAATTGTTACGGTATTGGTTTTTATTATCAAATCCATTAGGGGGAATATAATAGCTACGTAGCCCAAAGCAATTAAAATACAATTATTACATCATTAAGCAGTTATTTATTATGCTGGTTCACCTTGTGATTGTTTCTTGATAATTGTAGAGTTATATTTTAAGTTTTATCCAAGAAAATGGCAATCTTAAGGTAAACCAACGTAATTAATTCTTTGTTCTTGAAACTGGGAATGCCACATAAATTCAGGTTATGGTTTTGTATTTTGCTGTTCAACGTCCAATGAATTGTGTTATCTATAATATTAAAACGAAACAGTGTTTTTTTATTTCACGATTCTGAATCAACCACTCGACGGATTTTCATGATTTTTGTGTTGAAAGAAAGATAATTTTGAGAACTAGGGAATGTCGAAGCCATAACTTTAGTTTAGGGTCCCAGTTTTTTAGAAATTAAGTTTTAATTTTTTTTAAGTCTAGCAGCCGACGCTAAGATTCTAAACTAGATTTTGGCATAAAATAATTTGCTTAAACATAACAGCTGTAAACATTCAGCTTTTGTATCACAAATTCAGCATTTGGATAAAAATGTAAAGACATACTTAGGGTTGACTTATTTATACTATGTGTATTGCTACATTGATACGTTCAATTCTTCGGTAAGAGGATGACAGATTAATTAAATATACATAGTAAAATACTAGGATGTTCAAATTATTTTTTAAAGCAATCTTCGATTTGTTTTAGATCAATATAATTTGTTTTAACAGCTGGTTAAATAAAAACTATGGAACTACGAGGTTATTTTATTTACTCTTATTTTGTCATTGATTATTGGCAATAAGTAAGATTAGTAGAGATAATTAGACCACAGTTTAAAATAGTTTAGACCAAAATTAATTAAACCACAGTACAAATCGAGGCTCTGTACACGAGTCTTAATAAAAATGGATGAATGCAAATTTCTTTTCTGCTCCACTTTTCAAGGAAAGATTAGAAAAATAACAATGTTTACATGTTTTAATTCTTCATGGTAGCTTTCTGTTTACATTTAATGTTTGTCTGCCTTAACTTTGTTTGGATTAGGCCTGGAAATATTGATGTCATAAAAAGAAGATCAAGAATAATCAGGAATCACGATTTTAAATTACCACCATAACCTCAGCCGGGTTTTATACAAAGATAAACAGATGGATGACATAGATTGAACACAACGTCAACATTGACCTAGGATACTGCAATTAGACAAACCTTCCTTTTATGAAATTGTGTTCAGTTGTGTTTACGTTTGGGGTGCCTATATCAGCGCCCCCAAACGTGAAAATATCACTTTTATTTCAACTATGCATATCGTATAGGCCTATGATGGAATAGAAACATATTTGGTCACACAACATTTGTTTACAAGATGATTTTTCACATTAAAACTGCAAGAAACTGTCTATATATGTGTAAACTAGCTGATCTGAATTGTACACGGTTTTAACTGACTACTGAATTCCCGTACGTAGGACGGGCTAACACCTCGTATTATTTATATCTAAAATGAATACCAGTGTTGTAGGAAAATAGCAGAACATGAAAATTATTGAGAATAGTAGGCCTACCATTTAAACTACGAAGAGATTGTAAATATAAGTGAACTCTCAAACACGGATACAAAATTTAATCGTGATGTAATTGACCCTTGTCTAATAAAGCCTTTAACTGTGTTTTATAAGTAATTCTTCAAATTAAAGGTTCGTTGTTGAGTCGTCAAACCTATGTGTAAAAATATCACATACGTTTCATAACAGTTAATAGAATAATTGTAAACCTAGGCAATTGAAAACTAAAGCAATGTAAACCTAGGCCTACATGCAAAAAGCTAGTAGCCTAATCCTAAGATTTGTTTAATTTATTATTAATAATGTTACATGATTTGGTGTTGGAAGGAGGATAAATTTAAGGAAGGTAAAGTCAAAGTTATTTTAGTTTAGTGTTTCACTTTTGTAGATGTCAACTGTTTATTCTTTTTTAATACATAGTAGCCGTCGCTATTCTTTGAGTAAGTTTTAATGTGGTTTAAAGTGGGTTTATAAATGTCGCAAAAATGTTTACTTTACAAGTTGTTTACAAAAGTATGCCTATCTATTTATATGAAATCAAATTATGAAAAACAAATCTTCCCCAAATGGGTTTCAACGATTAGATTGAAGTATCTACAATCCTAAAATGCTATGAAAAGGGAGGGGAACAGGTCCGTGACGTAGGAAAGTGATGAAGGAAGTAGTAATGTGAGCAGTGTGGAGTGAGGGAACTGGAAACCGTTTGTAGCAGTTAGATTAATGTATCTGCAATGCTGAAATGCTATGAGAAGGGATGAAAGCATGCCCACGACATAGAAAATGGCGAAATAAGTAGTAAAGGCTAGCAGTGTGGAGTGTGGGCAATGTTTTTGGCAATTAGATTAACGTATCTAAAATACTAAAATGCTATGAAAAGTGATGAAAACAGGTCCACGATGTAGGAAGTGGCATAGGAAGTAGTAAAGCATGATCATATTGTGAGAACCATCTGTGGCAGTTACATTAATGTACCTTCAATCCTAAAATGCTATGAGAAGGGAAGGAAACAGGCCCCAAGACGTAGGAAGTGGTGAAGGAAGTAGTAAAGGTGAGCAGTGTTGAGTGTGGGAATGGATTAATGTATCTGCAATGCGAAAATGCTATAAGAAGAGACTGTAGACTGTAGGTTAAAATGAATACGAAATACGAAGCACGAATTGATACATATTTCGATACATGCAATCGTTTACAATATAAATTTACAACTGAGTTGACAACAGCTGATTTTTACTCCATTGAGGCTAAAAACTATTTTTACTTCCTAAAGAGTAAAAATTCTTCTTTAGACCCGCAACGCATGCATTAAAAACGACCGATTTTACTGCAGTATGATAAAAACAATATAATATGAACCCTTGATGACTCCGCTCAATTTTGTGGATGCCTCTGCGAACGCCACCTAGTTATGTTAAGCAGGTGTTCGACTTTATCTAGTACTCAATCATCTAGTACAACTATCACAACATCATCTGATTACATTTATTATAGATCAAATTTTCTCTACAACCGTCTTAAATATTCTGCTGCAGTGGCGTAGGCAAGGCGTGGGGTTTGGGGTCATCTCCCCCTTGACGAAAGGATTTTGTCCATAAAAGATCATAAAACCTCATAATAGTCCTAATACTGTATAATGTACATTATTGTGATTATTAATTTGCTTTTCGCATAGTCAAAATAAGTTACAACTACAGTATTATTGCTCAATAATATTAGGCTGTCATTAACCTCTTCGTTCAGTAATAAAAACTGTAATGTTTAAAATAATAACTAACGCAAAGTTTTACCCATTGACCTTGAAGCTATCAGCCGATTCTTTGATATGCTTCCATTTTATGTTTGTCAAATAAATTGTGACGTTTCAAAAACAATAATGTGGGTCGCCGGAATTTTATCCCCCTGGAATTTTACCCCCTGGGCAAAGCTGACGTCACTATGACGTAGTAACCTGAGTGGCCAAAAGTTTGTTCGCGGCCGGAATTTTACCCCCGCGGATTTGGAAGTCTAATGAAAATAGTCAGAGCGTGATTAATTAGATTAGCGATAAAAACCGGAATTTTACCCCCTGTCCATATAACTAGCGTTTAGGCAACTGAAGATGAACGGGCCGGATTTTTACCCCCGGAATTTTACCCCCGGAATTTTACCCCCCGGAATTTTACCCCCTGGCTGGTTTTAGAAATTGAATGATTGATTTTCTTATTTCTGTTTTTAATTAATTGTAAACATTTCATTATTTAGTAGCCTATCTTTATTTATTTATTTTGTAATCTCAACTAAGTAAACATAATTCGCTGTTTTATTTTGATCATATTAACCAACAGTTGGCTTCAAAGATCGAATCCTGACACTCGAATCTCAAAATTAATATTAAAACCCTGTTCGATTAGTTAATGTTACATATAAATTAAGATAGGAATTAATAATAAAATGTTTACCATTAAATTAAAACTGAATGACGATAATTAATCATTCTCACTAATTTATATCTGGCCAGGGGGTAAAATTCCGGGGGGTAAAATTCCGGGGGGTAAAATTCCGGGGGTAAAATTCCGGGGGTAAAATTCCGGGGGGTAAAATTCCGGGGGTAAAATTCCGGGGGGTAAAAATCCGGGCCGTACATTCTAGGTTTTTATAATTTGATGTGTTCTGATTAAACTCACAACCGTGAAAATATATGTTTAATTCCGCGTTTAATCCATCGAGCTGATGTCGCGAAACTCAAAAGTTCGCGGCCGGACTTTACCCCCTGGTTTGTGACGTCACGTTTGCCCAGGGGGTAAAATTCCAGGGGGATAAAAATCCGCTACCCCAATAATGTGAGAACCTAATGCATATAAATAATGGTAAAACACTAGTAAAATTAAATAAATATACAATGCATTTCAACACATTAAACTAGAAACACAATTTATAAAATGATCTTGGTATTTTAATGAATAATGTACATTAGAAGAGGTAGATGACAGAAAAATGAGGAGACGTGTTGTTAGTTTGCGAGGCCAAAAAGTTAGTACTACCAGCGGGATGCGAACCCTGCACCTTCAGATTATCAGCCCGACACGCTATCCACTAGACCTCCGATGCCGATGTCGTACTGACGTATCATTTCGGTAATGATGTTCCCATAGCCAATAATCCTCAAATAAAAAATACAGCACGGTGACAAAGATAAGTTTGTTAATCGTCTAGTAAAATTATGATTTGACCTGGGCAAAATTGCTTCATAAGCCATTGAAGTGATAAAAGTGTTTTCATTTGAGCTATTGATCATTAAAATCGGACGTGTTATAGACCAGCTACAAACCCTAACACAATATTAAATTTAACTTTGTAGAAACAAGTTTTTATTAAAAGATGTATATCTCGGGTTGCTAATATGTCACCAAGTTCTTTCTTGTGTCAAATTACTCAGTGGATGTTTGGTTTTAATTGTATGTATCACTTAATAAAATCTGACAAATTTTAAATGAGTCATGCATCTTTATTTAACAGTAAATTATTTCTTTATAAAAATAGAATCTTCCATCAAAATCAAAAAATGAAATAGTTATAAAAGTGTTAAAAGTATTATGTAAAATCATTCAGAAACATTTATATGGACAACAAAATTAATCTACGCTAGGTACTTATTATTTATATCATAAATTTAAGTTTATTGACACCGTGTATAATAGACAAAGTTTATTATAATAAATTCAGTATTAATATCAGTCAATAATATTTTTACAGTGGCTAATTCTTGGTTGTTTTGAACAGCAGACACTATTATAATAGGCCTAATACTGATTCAATTTATGTAAGTAAATGAATTATGTTACATTTTCCCAGCAACATAAATAATGTAGCAACATTTAAATTCCTTTGTTAGGCTAAAATAAAGACGAAATATTGTCATAAATTGTTCCACGTTTCAGATTTCAATTATTAATATTAATGTTACTAGGTATGTCATCTACCTATACAAATACCGAGCCTATTTTATTTTTGTATTACCATTACGACTCGAAATTCTTTCGGTAATAATCATACAGAATAGTGATAACCACGAATACTAGAAAAATACCGGTATGGATCATAAAGAAAAACAAATGATGCTGTTGGCCCGAATCCTGTACTAACAGTATTGAACATATGTTTTGGCAGTTCCATCTAAGCAATGTTAAATAATTTTTATCTTCGGGCCAAAAACGTCATTTGTTTATGTTTATGATCCATACCGGTATTTTTCTAGTAATCGTGGTGATAACAAGTATAATCTTAAAGAGTCATATTCTAGCCTATCAAGGACAAGCCTTCAAGGTTACAAACCCAGTCTACAAAATACGAATTCGATAATTTTATTACACAATTTCACATGTTTAATGCAATTTATTTGAAAAAAGGAGCAAATTACGGCCTATGAAAATAAATATTTCATCAACAATAGAACCAAACGAAATATATTTTTACAAACGAGTAAACAACCATTGAAATAAGAATATAATAATGCATTTTCCACGCTAATAATAATCATAACAATAATAATAAACATAGTCTATTTTCAATATAATTTTATTTGACATCAACCACATTGCTCGTACTGCGAATTATTCATTGGATACGACATTATGGTACCGATACGATCGTAGGTACTACACTTTCGGTAACATTGGCCAACAATCTTCGTGCTTTGCTCCTATTGGCCGGCGCACGAGGCTTCTGATTGGAAGTTAGCGAGTTCCGCCGAGGGACCGAGTTAGCGAATTCTGTCCTAGTACGGAAGTCACTAACCCGGCTCTACAGCGGGTTAGCGGGTTCCGGAGTTAGCCAATTCCGAAACCGAACAAGTTAGCGAGTTCCTCTCATCAACCAAATTTTAAGATAGGGCGTTTAACATGGGGTTAGCGAGTTCCAGAGTTAGCCAATTCCGCGGACCCACCTAAAGCATTCCGGACGGTTCTCTCCTTCTCAAAATGTCTCGCTGTCCAGGCAACACAGGCCATTAATAGAGGGCCAATTGAGAACAAAAAGTCGTTTTGGGGTAGTAGGGCGCATTTGTAACCTAATAGTGTCCAGGTTCAGGTTCAGACTGTGATGAGTTAAGCCTTTGCCACTGTTCTGTAGCTGCGGTCGTTATCACGATTGCGCTTCCTGTCTATGTTTCGTTGTCGTTGCGTCAGAGACATTTGGAATAAACAACAAATAATAAACAAATTATAGCTACACAAAACAACGATAAATGCACACATTTAAGTTACAATCATGCTAACACAATCCATCATAGCGACACAAAACAACGATAAATACACAAATTTAAGATACAACCATACTAAAACGATCCGTTTTGGGGGTTATGTTTACACAAGCTCAAATAGTAAATAAATGTACTCAATGTGTTTCATTGAATTAAAAAGTAAATAACAGCAATAAAATTATACAGCTGATCAAAATGTAAACAATTATGTTCTTCATAAGGATAACATGGGAACTTTCAAAGCCACTGGGGCAGAGCCCAAGGGACTTTTTCAAAAATGTAAGGCCAGTTTGCAAATCTACTCGACACGCTCTTTCCAATGAGACGTCAATGGATAAAATCGGTTAAGAAATGGCTGAGGAGTTCAACCGACAAACTTTCGTGTAGCGTATTAATTATATAGATATTCTATTGTAAAGAAGTCTGCTGCTGACTCAACACAATGAGAAGAAAAGACAGTTAACAAATGTTACAAACTAGTGGCTATGGGTTTGTCATGATTTGAATTTTACATCATCTAATAATTTGTATACATTATCACAATTTGTTGTTAAGCATGAGAAAATCTATCAATGTAAACAGTAAACACTATATTTTTTGCTTTTAAGTTCTACTAGTACATACCCTCTCAAATCGTCCCTCACAGGACCAAAACTAGGTCTGATAACCCCAATTGCCAGTTAACATGTTCAATGAGGTGACGGGTTATCTCGTCATCGCTGGCGCTCCCAAGCGGCACGCAACCAGTATACTCATCACAACAAAATTATTGCCTCGATATGAGCTGAGCTTTCGACAAAGGATCTTGTTTTTCTTTTTGCTGTATTAAGAAGGCCTTTGTGTTTCCTCGGGCTGCGTCGTTCCTGTCATGCACGGTTTTTTGTTATTTGTGTGCTTTAGTGTGTTATATGACTTAAGTGTTGTGCAATAGTGAATGATTGTGGCTAATTCTTTACGGATTGATGACTTTCTCACTGAAGATGAACAAGGAGATACGGACAACAACCGTTTACAATATTAACTAAGGATTACCTGTGGTGTCATGTGCGTCGGTTCTACATGGCAGCCAGACGGGTGCGGCACAAGACTTTCTGTCCCGAATTATGACCTCATATATCTTGTCAAAAATTGAAAATTTTGACAAAATAACATCATCATCCAAGACGACATTTGGGAAGTTAATTTTAGTTTTCATATTTTAGCCGTACAAGCTATATAGCCAATTTCTTATAGAAATAATATTTTTGATGATTATTATAAAAGATAAATTCAGCTGTGTTTTCAATGCTATATTTTTTAACCGTACCAATGTTCGCAGCATTCTAGATACAAAGTTCATGTGCGCCACTAGACCTCTGTGTGATAAAGTTCCGTCAAGTGTTCTCTCACATTTGTTGACCACTGTCAGCGAGCCTCCATTTACGCTGTTGACTGTTGGTGAGTCGAATTAAACTTAAGTCATAACAAATATTAATTAGAGATAAAATATAATGGAGTTGTCAAAATCACAGCCGTTTGTATTGGAGTATTTTGTGGACCTTCTTCTATGATGGGGACTGTAGAAAGTCAGGTGGTGGACTTTGTAAATTACTGTGTCTTTTACTCAAGTCCACTACCTGGTTTTTTGGCTTTCTTTGGATCCTCTTTTCTAGAGTTTTCCTTTAACCAAAAGGATATTTAGAAGGTAGTAACAAGATTAAGGGTTTGGAAAGTGTTACTTATAACAAATCTTATAACAATAAATAGTTCAATAAATATGCTACCGTACACACAAAAATATTTTTGGCCAAGTGGTCTGTGATAGTTTATTGAACATTATGTAATAAAGCAAACAAACAAGAAGTTGGTTGTACTTTTAATACAAACATACGTGTATTGAAAATGATCCAGTTATACTCACAATTAATCACTATAGCAATTAAACTAACAGACCATACCTATCTACTGTAAACCATAAAGTACTGTTGAAATGTTGAAAGGGCTGGTTTAAATGTAAATTAATAACACGTGGATATTTTATAAAAAGTTTACTATTTTATAAAAAGGCATTTATATTTACATTTCAAAATTACTTATTCTGAATAATAATCATCGTATGAAGCAGTCAGTCGTTGGTGAATAAGTTCAAAAACTGTTTTCATTTCTCTATTAGGTAGTTTGATTTTAGTTTGGGGCATTACTTTACTATGTTTTGAGATAAAAGAAAGGTATCCGGTTTCCAAAAAGTATTGTAGAAGTAAGTAATACTCTTTGACATTGTCTGGAACTGTGTTAGATTCGGTGTTGAACTCTTTAAGCATTTCTACCTCATATTGAGTAAGTGTTTGTATCCTCATAATTGTAATGTTGCCCCCTTTCAAAAGTTTAGGTATCACAGAGTCCCTCATTACATAGTGTGGAAACAAATACCTAAATAGTATATTTCTTGTTTTTTTCGTGATCCAGTAGACATCAAATCTTTTATGTCTAATGTAGGATAACACAGACCAGGGGTTCAACACTTCACATCCATTTTGTAAAGACTTGTAACCTCCGTACCACTTTGTTACGTTGTGAATTGCACCACTTAAATGAAACCTTTCCAAAAGTTCGCTGGTTTCAACTTGTGTAAAACCAAAGAAAGGAGCAAATTCACAATCCTCCATGAATTTGAATGTTTTGAACTTGTAAGGACCAGAAAATTGTGAACCTAACTTGTAAGACATTGAATTAAAAATAATTGTTCGTTCCACATTTGTGTTCAAATTCACAGTATTGTCTAAAATTCTAAACAGTATCTCAGAAACAACAGTAGGGTCAAGGTCTGCTTGAAATATCGTTTTTGTTAAATAAGAATCAAAATTATCTATCAAAATTGTCACGTTCTTTTGGTAGTGAAAGTGAAGGAGGGAGGACAAAAAGTTTAAACCGGTTTCAAATTCTTTTACCTCACAGTCAAGGTATTTTTGAAACTTAATCTTTGAAGTGTTTCCAAAACGAGTGGAATTTAGTAAATACGAATGCTCTTGGAAAGAATGTTTCACTGATGTTTTAAGTCCCTCAACAATGTCTCGATGGCTGGCCACCAGTTCGTTGGGTTTCAAATTGTAGTAAATTGTCGGATGTTGACACATATGTTTCAACACAAAATGTTGTTCTTCCCAAATTTTGGTTCCCACAAAGTAATCCACCACATCCCCCTTAGGTTCAGTGTTCCCCAAAAACAGCTTGATCATCTGCAAGTTTGTGGTCTTCCCAAACTTTGACGGTGCTGAAAGGTGTATGAAGTCATGTTTCAAAATCTTCTGCAGTAGTAGCGTCTTATCGATAAATATAGTAGAATGCCTTATCACTTTGAATCTATCTGAGTCTTTCACTGTTTTGGACACTGCACTTTTATACTTGATCAAGATAACGACACATAACATCCCTTTGAGTGTGGCACTAACCATAAGTTGAGATTACCCAAACCCACATCCTCATTGTGAAACTGATGTGGAAACCACATAAACATAGTCAATTGTAAAAACGGGCTTCTCTCTGGACTGAGACATTTTGTTTCCAGCGAATCAGTGAGGTGATTAAAGTTCTATCTCTGATTTGGTTTGGTGATAAGACAACAATATTATTTACTTTGAGATTAATATACTAACCGTAGAACTATGTTTACTATTAAGGTATCAATCTCAGAATAAACGAACCTATTTTGATTTTTGATCCTTGGAATATCTAAAAAAACTTGGGGGATTTCAACAGCTTTTTTTTATATTTTATTTGTAATTCTTTCATACTAAATGCCACTGGTGTGGACACTATGAAAGGAATTAATAGAAGTCCATGCTACAAAAATAAAAGATTGATAATTCCAAATCGGTTTTCTTAACAAGTTATTATTGTCTCCTAACAACTGTTATTCTCATGCTACTATGCTACTTATTTTTTCTACAATATTATAGTCAAAATGTTGTAAAAATTTGAACTCCTCGAGTCTGTATCTAAAATTAATTACACCTACTCTTAATAATACTTCCTTGGTTTGAAAAAAAATACATCTATTGCTACAAACTTACAAACACAGCATATTTTTACGGTTGCTTGGTTAAATTTGTACTAAGTTAAGGTCACAATGAAATGCATATGAAGTAGCTTTATTTTCATTTTTTTTAGATAGGTATAACTTGATTTTTTTTTTGTAGCTAGTTATACTTCCTAGGTATAAGTTTTACATTTTGTGTGTTTAGTTTGTTTCTTAAATTTTGGAGGTTTGGTTTCGTAATGTGGGGTTGCTTTAATTATATTATTCCAAATATTACGACAACTGTTTATCCTTTTGCTCAGATTTACAAACTATCTGAACTGTCCGTTCTAAATGTTCTGCTTTTCTTGCGATTTCATGGCACCGAAACACAATCTAACCAGAAAACACTAGCCTAAAATTTAGTGGATATTGAATTGTATGTTAAAATTGCGGTTTAGCCTATCAGAACCACAGTTATACTAACTTTTTGTCTCTTTATGTCCTTATATCAATTTCTTCTTATTAGAACCAGAGGGAGAACACGCATATTCACGTCTGGACCAGAAAGAACACGAAGCTGGTTTTGACGCCTACATCACTGGAACCATTGCTATTGCTCTCTCCAACTATTTAGGTGAGTGCTATGGTCTTGTATCTGACTCACAGTTCTTGTAAATTTAAATTTTGGATAGTATGTGAATAACGTTTAAAGTGATTGCAAAATTTGTATGATCATTCTTCTACTCGTTCTTATATTATGAACTGTCATTGTGTGGACATCACATTGAGAGAATTGGCCAGCTTCAAACTTTTCAGGTAGCTGGACAGCTGAGTGGTAATAGTGTTTGCCTTAAAATCAATTTTAAGAATAATTTTGATTCTGATGCAGCGAGACACAAGAAAAACAAGTCTGACATGAAACTTCCCTCAGCAGACGCTCCTCATCTCAAGGATGTTATCAACAGGTGTGTTAAACTGGCATGTTGTAATTTCAAAAATATTTTAATCCTCAGCAAATATGCAATGTTTATTTTTTACCTTCTCCTCAAATGGAGTTTTTTATGCATTAAATGTTCGTTGTGATATAATAACTCAAGCTGACGAATTTACCTTAACCATTTAGACTCCATTGGCTTTTATAAGGTACAAAACCATCACCAGCAACTATTTCTGCAAGCATAGCTCAGATGGTCAAAACCAGAAATTTTGAATCTCAAAACCGAAACCGAATCTTTAAAAAATCGGATCCCAAATCTTCAATCTCCAAACATAAACGCAAAACTTGTATGTTTAGTTACCTGGTCAAGGTTGCTAAAAATACAGGTAATAATTTACTACTTATCCAGACATAATAACATAAATGATTATGTGACTATGTGACTGATAAACTTTAAATTAAAAAAAGATAATTTTTTATAAACAACTGACATTAAAATAAATGAAACTCTTGACACTAACATTAACGTGAATATTAGATTAATTAGAACTTAATGGTCAATATTTATTTAAATATCAATATGAAACTGAATTAATTGTATGTTGTTCCTGTATTTAAGATGTCTTTTGCAGTTCAGAATACAATTATTTACAGTATCTGTTTCATTAGTGTTAATGGTTATCTGTTCCACCAGCTTGTGTAAAAACAGTGTTATTTATGATAAAATAATAAATACTCATCTGGGTCTGAAACTCACGTAATATTGATACCCACGGGATCATCATCGTCATCATATTTGTCATGATCATTGGGAAGTTGAAAAGATGAGAGTCTGAATTGTACTGGTATATAAATAATAAATCTGTTTAAATTATTTTCCCTTGTTTACAGACTGTTCATGATGAAAGTGTCAGATTGCTTCATTGACCTGGAACAAGATGATCGTAAGTTCCCATTTTGTCATTTTTAAAATTTTAAACTACTAAACGTTTAAGTTTTGAGTTCTCAACCTCTTTAAATGTAAATTCTAGATTTTTAATTTTTATAGTCCACCCTACGTTTGTTTGTTTTAAGTACCCAACTACTTTAATCATCAAGCTAATGACAGATCACTTAATGAAATAAAAGGTAAATCTTCATTACAGGCGAGTTTAAGTAAATGTTTATATTTTAGGAGCATTTTTAGAAAAGGGATAAAGTTAAGACCACTTCTCTGTTGATATTTGAGTCCAGGGATAATAAATACACAAGTACAGTAGTAAAGTAATCACCTCATTACAATCATATTTTATCTTAGTATGGGACTTCTTCAGAGAGTAAATAAATGAGAAGACAGCTCAATCGAAACCCAATTCCTGAAGAAGTCTTTTCTGCAAGCCTCAAAATTTAAACTTTCTCACATTAGCTAGATGAAATTGAGATACCAGCTAGCTGCTACAAAGAATATCCACATGAGAAAGATTACATTTTTTGTTCTTTGTTTTCAAGGACTACAGGTTGATGCAATACTTTTGACATAGTTCATAAAATTAAAATACAGGGTGGTTACAAATGAAATAGACAGTTTGTATTTAATTAAATATTACAGTTTGTCTATTTAATTTGTAATCACCATGTACATACAATTTGTGGTTGTTGCATAAGTGAACTGAAACACCAACAATCTGTAAACAATTTGAGCCTTATGGAATTATCTGAGTTGACCATTGTGAAACATATCATTTTCACATTTACTGTAGAATATTGTTCCTTTGCTTCATAAACAACTTGAATAAACACAAGAAAAAATAAAATTCCTGCCAAGTAGGGCTTTGCTTGCACACCACCAAGGAACTTTCACACAAGTTTTGATTTATATTTTGTTTCCAGCTGAACCAAAAAGAGACGCAGTATTCCACGTGACATTTCCCGAGCAGTGGAAACTCACAGACTTATCCAACCTGTTCAGCCCTTACGGTGAGGATTTTCAAATATGATCACTGTCTATTTAGAATCTAACCTCTTCGAAAGTGCTAAACGTCTACTGTGAATACTAGCTGACTTCTCTGTGATATAGACAAGATGTGTTAGTTGTCACAGCGATTTGAAACCTTAAGATACCACCTCTTTATGTTTTAATTTACAAAATGGTAACCATTTCTATCATAAACGGTGGCTGGATCGAGTCTATGTTGCCTGAACATGTTGATTTTTTAATGCTGATATAAAAATTAAATTTCTAGATATTATATCTCTCCTTACTGTGTTAAATCAGCAGATTGCCATTTAATTGATTCAATGTTTGGACCATTAAAGACAATGTTATTTTAACTCACTCATAATCGGTACTGAAAGCATTAAAAATATAGCCTACTACAAGTTTACATGTTGAGTATTGTATGACGAGGTATGTTTACGTATATTTGGTTTCAACCATAAATTGTCATTGGGTTTAATCCTGAGGATATAAAAAATAAGTTATTGGGGTAGATTAGATATCTAAAATGAAGACACACGGTGTGTGAGATGCCTGTGTGTATATGAGTGAAGGAATGTCGAATGAATGAGATGATAGCCTGTGACTGATTAAGACAGGGTACAGTTTCAAACCATAAGAAAGCTGCTAAATTTTCTCGGGATTGTATTGGACTGCTAGGCGAGCATCATAACGACTTCACTATCCAGCTATATTCACACAGCTATTACAAGTTACTAGTAATGTTTTTTTCCTACAGGTGGTGTATATGTCTCCTGGATCAACAGTCGCAGCGCCTACTGCAGTCTCAGTGACAAGTCGCAGGCGTTGAAGGTGCTGAACTCTCTGGCACCTGCTGCTCCTGCAGGCGTCACTGTTCGTAGCTACTACGCTCATCACAACCTGTTACAAGCGTCCTCACCAGCCACGGGCAGCCGCCGGAAACTGAGCGCAGAGTGAGTCGCCAGGAAACTAGTATTTTAGAGTTTTTAAGAGATTATTGGGGACACTTTCCATCACGATTAGTACACATATTGGGATCTGGAATTTGATCAAATACTTAAATGAGAGAACGTACATAAAAGATAAAAAAGATTAGTACACAAACAAACCAAATTTATAGGTTATTTAAGAGATTGGTGGAGACATTTTCTATTGCGATTTGTAAAAGCAATTTTACATGACTTTTCAAGATCCACAAGATCTAGTGAGAAATTACCTAAGACATAAAAATACAATTAAAAAAACCTGAAGATGGAAGATCACAATTTTAAAACAACGAAGTTAACTGAATAGTAATAGGTCGCACGCTTAGAAAGCGTGCTCCTCGTAGCATTGGTGCGAAGAGAAATACCGAGCTGTGGGAGTGAGACAGACTAAGGCTTTTCCCCCACTCCGCTGCCGCCCCACCCCCAACCTTTTATAAATATTAACAGCAATTAAATTATACAGCTGATCAAAATGTAAACAATTACTTTCTTCATAACTTGAGAAAAATAGGTCCTGCAAAAATATTGTATAGCCTAAATCGCATCAATATTTGAGCATCATGAAATGTTATTATATCATTGTATTTGGTAACACAGGATTCCAACTCCCACGACACCGTGGCGGCGTCGTGTCGGTGTCGTGTTGGTGTTGTGTCGTGCATTGTGAAAACGGCCATTGGCGGAGAGGGGGAACATACCTCCCCAACATGCGCTAAAAATTTTGCCCAGGTCGTTCTAAGCGGCCGACCTATAGTCAAATTTAATCAAAACAAAAGCCCTTAAATAAAGTGTAATAGTAACAAACAAAATTAGGAGACAATGACATTTGGGCACAAGATTGTGGCTAAGTGAGGTTGCAGTCTTTTTACACGGACTCACCCAAAGGCCAAGTTTAATAGTTGATCGTTGTAAGTGTAAGTTTGGTTTCTTTAGTACTCTTGTGTCCTATATACAATATATTGTTTTCTTAGCCCAAAGAATTACCTCATGTTTATTTATATATCCACCCTAACGGATAACTTTTGCTGAAAATATTATTCATTTACCATCGAGTAATCAACAATTCACATGTTGTTTTCAAATTGATACATTAATTTGTGCTTTCAGACTGACGATCAAAAGACCAAGCGTCGATCCCATACCAGAAGAGGCTGAAGACAAAGGTATGTATTGATAATTTTTTATAATTCTTTGTTCATACTGAGAATAAACTGGATCCAAGGATCTAAGTAATCATAAATACAGCATAATGTTAATGTTAGCAGTTACCTAATGTTTTTTTCCTTAAGATTTTTAATGCAGTTTTTTTGTTACATCCCTCTGCTTTTTAAAAGCAGATTAGAGACGGATCAAAACTTGTATTAGAAAGTAAGGGAAGAAATAGTTAGTCCTATTACACTATTTGTAGAGATATGCAGGCCTGAGCAATCGATTGAGCCGAGCCCGAGCTTTTTTATAACATGAATTTTATGTAACACCGTTTTATATGCTAATTTAGTTAACTTTATTTAAAAATACAGTTTATAGCTTAGATTAATTTAATTAATATTTTTCATGAATGGATTATGAAATATGATCTAAGCTTAAAATAAATGTTATCAATTAATCAGTTTTATTTGATTCAAAAAGAGGAAGTTTATGAATATTAGTGTGGTTCAAGAAAATATTTAAATATCAAATATAACTTCCAACTATAAATAACTTGACATATTAAAACTATTTTTTATTTGAAGTAAACATTGCAATGTTTTTAGGATTTTTTGTTAGGATAAGAGGCTTACCTGAATTGGAAAGAGTCCAAACTAGCATAATAGACACCCAACTTTACATTCATTATATACACAAAACATTAGAATATTTCACTGTCACTGAAAGCATTTTGAACTAAGGAAGAGAGTTTTCAGGGGCGGACTGGGTACTCTATTAGGGCGTAAACCTTGACCAGCCCGAAGGCGCCAACCGGGGGGCCTGGGGGGTATGGAATACCCCCCTGTATAGAGGGGGGTCCGGGGGTCCCCCCCAGGAAATTTTTTAAAAATTATACCTGTAAACTCGCATTTTTAGGCAATCTAGAGGTATTAACAGTGGAAAATCAGAAATCTGATAACTGACACTATTGGTCAATGTTTGGTTTACAAAATTTAGACTATTTACCCACACGACTTGGCGCTATTCTGACAGTAAATATCCTAACAAAAATAAAAATACAAATGATTTTCTTAGGTTTTTTCGTACCGTATTATATTTGTGTATTATCACTATTTTCCCTTGCATGACTTGGCTGCATGCATACAATATAAATCATGTGCTTCCTGTTTACAACCTGAACCTGCAACTGCTGTATTTTTTGGCACTGTAAATAACAGAAGTTATATATTTTAGATTTCTATGAATTTTTTTTTAACACAAACAATATGCTTTCACTGTGAACAAAACCAATTTATTGACTTAAACTGTTTTAGCATTACATTAAGTCAAAACTGTAACCCTAAAGTAGGCCTACCTAACCTATTTCCTATTTCTACAAACGAAATGGAAGCCATAGCCTGGAGAGAACTACGAAGGTATTTTGGGCTGGCTATCTGTAAGTAAAATAGGAAAGTTGACCAAATTTGTGCCATAGTGCATATTGAAATAATTCATTAATAGGCGGTAGCCACATATTAAAATACTGTTTACTGTTAAAAAACCTTCACTGTGTAATGGTTAAGTTAACAAATACACTGTCACTAAATCTAATTTAAATTTTGTAAAAGTAGTGATTCTACAATATTACTTTCGTTCATGTTTCCTGTGTAGGTAAAGAATATAAAAATAAATTGAAGCTTTCGACACAGAGACACAAATCAGACACTCACTAAAGAGAGACACATTTTAATTGGCAGCTCACACTCTTTATTTATTTATTACATGCACAGCAAACGCCATTTTACAAGAGAGTTGAGTAGACATTGATAAAAATTAAATGTGACTTAAAGTGAAATAGTTATAGTGTGAGCAATAAATAAATATTTTAACAAATATGAAATAATATTAAATTATCTTCACTAGTTGTTTACCACAGACGACATCGTAATACCGAACCGAACGATGTCGGATGCAGTCGCAGTGCAGTTTTTTCGGGTTCGGCGTAAAATGACGCGGGAAGAGGACAGCTGTTTTTAAGTAGCTCAGACCACAGAGTAAAGTGCCTTCCACTCGGAGTAGGCCTACACGTACGAGAGAGAAGAGCTGATTTGCTCTCGCTGGTCGACAGTGTCTATTCAGGTCTCACACCCGACTTTATGTTTTGCTATTCACTGCTGAAACTTTTACTCTAAGTTTTCCTCTTGATTTCTGAAAATACGTCTCATCTCATTTTTAAAAAATTTTTATGAATTTTTCCTTTAACGAGGGCGCAAATATTGGAATGTTGAGAAGGCGTATCGGCCCACCGGCCGGTGGGCCGGCGGGCCAGTCCGCCCCTGAGAGTTTTCTTTGAATCCATATATATAGAGTAGACCACCCAATATAGACCAGTCCATCTAATGTAGACTGGCCACCATATTGGACCTAAAGTAATATTTTATTTATTTAAGATAATTGTTTCAAGTTGTTTTTAAAGCAAGCTAGTCTTATATAGAAAGGTAGAGAATAAGTCAAAACAACAAATAGCAGATCTTGACAAGAAACAAGGAAAACCAGAGTGTAATATGGAGAAGACTGACCAAGGGACAAAGTACATTGTTATCTAGAACAAGTTTATCTCTATGAGCTGCAGACAAGCCAATTTTTCCTGGCTTTTGCAGCAAGCTTTGTTTATGAAATGTTGTAATATTTTTGAGATTTTACAAATAAAAAAAAAAAAAAAAAAAAAAAAGAAAACTATCTCTTCCTTAGTTGAAAATTCTGTCAATGACAGTGCAATATTGCAATGTTTTGTTATATAATGTTAAGTTGTGTGTCTATTGTGCTAGTTTGGACTTTTCCTATTCAGATAAGCCTGCTAACCTCAACAATAATCCTAAAAACCTAGGGCCCTTGTGCTCCATGCCACATCCTGAACATTGAAATATATTAGCATAAAAATTATTTTTTGAAAGATATCTAAGTGAATATTTTATGACGAAGAAAAATATTTAAAAATCTAATATATTTGGTGTGATTTCCATTTATCACTGTTGTCACAATCAGTGATCGCGATAATCTCATTATCATCTCCCGTGGCCACAGAAACATTGTCATCATCTCCCTCGATTTAGGCAATACCTTGTTTATCACTAGCGGTCACAGAAACATCATCGCTCACTTCCATCACGTAAAAATCATCATCATCTCCTGATATCACGACCAAATATTGAACATCTCTTTCTGTCACGGACACATCATGGTCTTCAGCAATCGCGGTAAAATTGTAAACATCTTCCTCAGTTGCTTAAACATATTCATCCTCTGCGATAGCAGCAAAATCCTAGACATCACCTGTGGTTGTGTAAACCATCATTGTATTCTACGATCGTGGCAAAAGCTTAGACATCTCCCACTGTGGTGTAGAAATAATCAACATTCTTTGCGATAGCGGCAAAATCTTTGACATTACTGAGGTTATGTAAACATCATCGTCATTTCCCGCAGATACATGAAACGTTATCGTGGTCATTTGTAATCATGGCAAAAGAGTGAGTTTTTGATTGCAGACGTGTCCTGCAACCACGATTATAAAAGCTTGGATTGAGTTTGATTTTTCAGCATTGTGCTCGATCTCTCGAGCTTGTAGGCTTCGCTCGAAAATCGAGCCGCTCGCAAACCTTTACCATTTTGATCTTAAACTACTCATTCCATTCTTTGGATCAATTTTGTAACTTGAAATTTACAGTGAACACTTTTTCTAATTGAAAGCTTAAACTTTTGCAGTCAAGATTACATTTTGAATTATTTTCAGGAACGCCTGTAGGAACACACCTTAAAAGAAAAAGAAAGTTATCAGAAAATAAAAACGATACGAAGAACATTTTTGAAACAGCAGTAGCAAGTGAGAGTAAAAATACGACTGGTGCACACAAAAAACTTAAATTGTTTGAAGAAAGTTTAGATTGGGGGTAGTAACTGTCATAAATAAATCCAATTTTATATAGTTTGATTTATTTTTATCCTGTAAAAATGGTTATCTCTTTACAATAGTTAATCACATTTAGATTTTTTAAGTGTTTTTGAATACTTACAATTTTTTTAAAGAATTAGGCAATTTATTACATAATTGGTTAAATATCCATCCATCAAGGAAATTTTAAGCAAAGAATAGTAGTTCCAACACATTACAGCTTATGTAGCAAAAAATAATTAGTTAGCACTGTGCTCAAAGTTTTTATTTATTTTGTACCACTCCAAAAAGACAAAGCTAGAGGCCTATTCATTTTTCAAATAAACTGTTGAGTGATTTTTTTTTTATTATTGGATGAACGCTAGAAAAATGATATCACTGTTAGTCCAATGGATAATGCCTAATGAACTTACAATATTTATACAAATATAATCACAGTTCAATTCAAACTAAACATTGAAGAGAATGATTTTTAATAAATGATTCTTAATTAACTACTCCCAAGTCTCAACATGGGAAAGAATTTGGTTAGTTTACAATAGGCACCTCAGCATTTGCTTCCAAATGTTTGGTAACAATTTGTTCGATGTTTAGTTTAGACACACACTGTAAGGATAAGTAAATAGTTAAATCCTTGATTTGATGTGTAACTCACAAGGAATCCTACAATTCTGTGAACCGTTTAACCTTAGCCGTCCATTATTCATTTGTGGTGGGCATCTCCCTCCAAACTGTCATATACAGGAACTTTTTATGAATTATTGCACTCTAGACCTGACCAAAATGGGATTCAAATTCTTAATTTAAAACCCCTAGCCGTATGGACGTCTTAGACCAGTGTTTTTCAAATTATTTTGGCGTAGGACTTTAAAAGCAAAAATAAAGTGTACTACCATTGATTTTCAGATAGTGAAGAAGACATCACTTCACGTTGACGTTAATTTTTATACATGGACTAGGGTCAGAAATTTTTCTGTATAAAAAAAGAACATAGTTGAATGAACCAATCACAATGTGTGCTATTCTATTTTTGTTAGAATTTTACAGTGATAGTTGAGGTAACATAAAAGATGCTTTACTTTACAATAAGCTGTCTTCATTTTTTTACGTCAGAGGAATTTAATTTAAAAAGTTAAAGTGAGATTTAGATATTTTAAAAAAAGTTGTCCAAACCCATTAAAGCTGTGTGGAGTGGATGTGCTGGGAATTGAGCCCACCCCTCCTGAAGTCCAGGGCGCTAACCAGTAGGGACACAAACACGGATAAAATAATTCAAGGATAATCCAAGGATAATGTTATTGACTCTGTAAGTTGGTGTATTCGACGTAAAATTACATCAGTGTTCTCTGTTTGTTTTTGGCTCAATATTCAACTCAGTTTGTTTTTTATATAAAAAAAACAAAAAATCTGGCTAGTGGTTAAATTCTCCTGCTTACTCACATTCAATCATGCAAAATTGTCAAAGCTGTATAATTGAATGATATTCCTCCGACAAATAGTATCGGAAACAGCTAAATAAAAATACATGCTTTGGCTTTTTATTGGTGATGAAGACTCGCCTTACATAAGCATGATTGAAACAAAAAGGGTTGTGTTATCCCCTTTTTTTGATTTTAAAACCATAATAGATAATTTTTTTAAATCTGAAAACTTTCTCACAACAATAATTAAGTTGAAATGAAGTAAAGGAAGTTTTTATTACGCAATCAAAATCATAAACTCTCACTCTAATCATAAATAACAGAAAATTGTGGTAGCTACCAAATTTTGAATGTTTGATTTTTACAGAAAAAGTGTTTACTTTTTTGTTACAGACTATACCTTTGGGACCAAGAAGACTGAAAACTCCCTATATCTATATTTAATTTTATTTTTTAAATGGGTTTGTATTCTATTACTTTGGTTGATTTTTCCTACTAATATTTCGCTCCTAGTCTCTGCTTGGTTAATTTCATCTGGTAGGGTGAGTGTACCAGTGATTAAGCACCAACCAGTGAATGACCGTTTCATACCCATCGTCGACTATACCTTGGGGACCAAGAAGACTGAAAATTCCATGCATTTATATTTAATTTTCATTTTTAAATGCTTTTGTATTCTTTTAATCTTTTACTTTGGTTGATTGTTCCTAATAATATTTCGTTCCTAGTCCCGGCATGGTTAATTTCATCTGGTAGGGTGAGTGAACCAATGATAAAACACCATTGATTGATTGACCGTTTCATACCCAGGGCCAATTCTGGACATTTTTTTAAGCGAACAACATACCGGCGTCCCCCCCCCCCCCTAAACATTTATGGTAGTAAGGATTATCTCTGGATACATTTTAAAATACGAGTAAATATAGATGCTTAAGAACGTCCGAAACGTGCAAATATCTTCCGAGCTAGCCCAAAAAGATATCGGAGCGGGGCCCGACGTACAATTCCATTTGTTTTTATTTGTGGTTTGTTAAGTTATTTGGGAACAACAATAAATCAAGAACCGGTAGTAGGAGTATGCGCATGAGTTACAATATACGATTTACCCTAACGTTAACTGAAATATTAACACATTTTTAACATTTTTCATCGTCCTCAAACTGCATTAGAGTATCATATTGTATTTACTCAGCATACAGTGATTATGCCGTTCAAAATACAGTAACACCCTAAATGGTGTTGAAGAGACTGTAAAATGAATTAGGGTTACTGAAAATAGATCCGATAAAAAGTTTAGGTAAAGTACAATTCTCAAGCCAAATACAAACTATTGATATGTAACAAACTTAATTCATAAACAACTCAAGTTAAAATTACAAATGTTTAGGTTTCATCAATTTCGTTTTTTGGTATTTCATTAAAATTAGTAAGTAAACTAAAAAAAGGTTAATAATGTAACTATTAATGCTAATTAATTAAAGCTAATTAATAGTTATTTGTGTAACTAGTGTGCGAAGTGGCACTTTGCTGCACATGAGAAAAATGTTTATGCACAAGCTGCAGGCGAGTGCGAAAAGTTTCGCGAGTGCAGCAAAGGCACTTTGCGTAACACATTATATTTTTTCTAGAGTTACTATAAAGCATATAAATAACTAGTCTTTCAAACATTATACTACACGTTTTTAGGTTTGGTTAAATCCAAGCGTTGACTGAAATGGGAAATGCTGCGCCAGCTGATTGTAGTTGTTGTAGTATCTTTAAGTGTTGCCAACTTATTTTCAAGCGTACACATATTACATGCCTAATACAAGCACTCTGTTTTGTGTTATTTGGTTGGAATACTGGAATGCGGCAAAAAAATGAGTGCTGCCAAAGTAAAATGAGCACGGCAAAGTCAGTAAATGAAGTGGCTACTTGGCATACTATAATCAGTGTATGGAAGGCCACGTTGTCAGGTAACCGTAGGAAAATACTTATCTTAGTTTCCGAGATATGATAGCTCTATCTCTTGAGTAAATTTATATTGTATTTTTGTAAATATATATTAATATATTTTCGTCTTTAAAAACTGCTCCAACAGACATACACTGCTGAGGTCAAAACAAGAACAAAACTCAAAACACTGGCAACTACCAAAAGTTAAAATTAGGGGTTGATGGCGACGAGGGGTAGGTATGATCCATAGTCCAAACAGAGAAAGGTGCAGACCAACTGTGTAAAAAAGTATATCCCCTTGCACCGACTCTGGCGAAGCCTGCAAAGTAAACAATTTAACAGAATCTCTGAGAAGCAGGCTTTCTCTGAGCCACACACATCGCCCTTGTTAGCATTGGAGGTTCAGTTCTTATAGTGTTATATATTCAATACCTCTAGTCTCCTGAGGTCCCGGGTTCAAATCCCGCCAAGTCACCAATGGATTTATCTAAGTGATAATGCCGAAACCCCTAGGTTTAGCCTCAAGTAACGTGAAAAACAATCCCGGGCTCGTGCCTAGTGTCCTAGGAAAAATAAAATAGTCTCCTTCTTAAATACTGATCATTGGATCATTAGGTGCCCCCTTCTGCTTAGCGCACTACACGATCATGTACTTTGCTTAAACCAGCCCTGTTCAATACCACTATAACGTTTCGTTCAAACAGGTTTGGTTGTATTTGTCATGGTTCCTTAATTATTGAGGGAAATTGCTATATATTTTGTGTAATTCACAGAAAACATGTTAAGGCACAATTCTATACTCAATTTAAGATCAAATTCCTAACCAACAATTATTTAATCAGCCAGTCATTTACTAAATCAGAACTTTGGGTATAACCAGTGAATGACAGTTTTGGTTAATAACAAGATTTGGATACATTTTCTTGTTATCTTTTGAAATTTTGATGGATTAACACGTTCGCGGCGGCACGTCAAATGGCGGGCGAATCCCCAGTGTTGTGCAGCCCGCAGCGTCAAACAAACCCGATTGCCGCTTGTGACTGGCTTTCCAATTTCGGTCTGACGAATAGCAAATAACGTGCGTGGATGTCCTGCTTTAAGACGAGAGTCGACGTAGTTCGCTAAACACTCACAGATAGCAGCACTGCTTGGAACATAGCCGGTCCCATTGGAATTGTATTGCCAAATGGAGGGAAAAAGGCGGGACAAAAAGTAGAATTTTGAGATTGCCAGAGGGGGATTTTCGGGGAAATTTACTACTAACCTACACCACAACAAAATACAGTATACTATTGAGCAGTGCTGTGCGAGGCTTCAAGTTTCTAGCTCTAATCCTGGCTTAAAAATAAATCATTTCGTACTGCATTGCAGCTTGGGAGCGGACGCACCCACCAGGATGGCATTAGGGTTCCGTGTGGGAGCGATCGCTCCCATGCCGCCGCGAACGTGTTAAGTGCTTTGATAGGAATCACATCATAAGAAATCACATGGATACACTATAAGCGGAATTTGATCTCAGGTTAAAGTTTATGGTAATTTGAAAATTGGGTACCTATTCAATAGAATCTGTTGTTTAATCAATCCTGAAATGGTTATTTTTATTTGTGTACAGTGTCCTGGCTCAATGAGAGAATCTTTAACTATTGGATAAAGGTTTTGGTAA